CAGGTGTGGCATATCAAGATGCTGATTAGACAGCATGATTATTGCACAGGTGTGCCTTAGGCTGGCCACAATAAAAGGCCACTCTGAAATGTTCAGTTTTGCTTTATTGGGGGGGTCTGGGGGTGTCCGAAAACCAGTCAGTATCTGGTGTGAGGGGTAGGGTTAGGGTAATGTTGTGAATCGAGTGGCCTGTGTTCGTCGTCCATAACATACGCCTGCCCATACCATAACCCCACCACCACGGGCCACCCTTTTTAAATGCAAAAGCTGATTCTACAGGTGTTTCTCAAAAAAGTACTATATCATAGAACTATTTTTCTGTAATTGATTTCAAAAAATGAAACATTCATATATTATTCTAGATTCATTATACATAAAGTGAAATATTTCAAGCCTTTTTTGTTTTAATTATGAAGATTGCAGCTTACAGATCATGAAAATCACTAATCCTGTATCTCAAAATAGTATAATATTAGATAAGACCAATCAAAACAGGATTTATAATACAGATATTTCGACCTTCTGAAAAGTTTGTTCATTTATTTACTCAATACTTGGTCGGGGCTCCTTTTGCATAAATTATACATGGTATGGAGGCAATATATTCCATGATATTCTAATTATTTTGTGAGCTGCACATGTAATCTGATTTCTATAATATGTCTTATGCAAATATAATGCATCTCTTGATGGTCACATATACTTCTCTTCTCTCTTCAGATGCACTTTTTAAATATGTTGGGTCACCTGCAGACACCTTCTCCGTGCACCTCAGCACAGCCCAGCACTGCAGCAGCATCAATTATACTGTATATTAGGTTATTTATATGTAGTTTACTATATTTAGAATATATTATAATTTGTTTGTGTCAGCTCTAATTTGTCACCTTATTTGTATTGTATTTATAATTCATTTTATGTTACTTGGTTTTGTATTTAGGTTTTAATTTTGTATTTTTGTTGATTTAAAATAATACAAACTCAAAACAACGTATAAAGCTTCTGTGCTTTTATTAACATTGGAATTTACAGTGATGCAAGCGGCCTGGGGAGGGGTGGGGTGGGCGCCAGCTAAAATCTTATAGGGCAGCAAATTGGTCAGGGCCGGCCCTGAGTTCTATGACTCATTGTGGGTGATTCTTACAGCATATGCTGCCCACACCTTAACTTTCATGAATCCCTGTATGTGAATATTAGTGAAGATATCTTCACAACGTGTGGTTAAAACCACACGTGTGCATTAGCGCCTCTTAGTATGCAACCTAAATGACAATGTTAAAGTAAAGGAACAACATAGGCTATATAATGCATATAACATATCAATATATTAAACATATTCATTCATACGTGCACGCCGTCAGCCGCCCTGGACAACACATCCTCACTCCCAGGTCGGCCTATGTTGACGTTATGTCAAGTCCCCTGTCGGCTTTTTCCAACGCAAGGGGGGGGGGGCTTAGCGGCCATTTTCAACGCAAGGGGGGGGCCCTTAGCGTCCATTTTCAGCTTTCCGGGATGTCCATATGCTTATATGGACGCTCATGGAAGCACGGCATTCGTTTGTGTCGGCTGCCCTTAAAGGCAATGTGAGCGTCCATTTTCATTGGATAACGGAGAATTGTGCACCCGGAAGTAAGTATTCCCCTTACTGTCGATTGATTTTACAGTGATATCTGCACTACTCATCGACTAAAAAACACCAGATTATCCTTGTTAATTACACAACATTGATTGGTTTAAATTGTGTGCAATGCTTTTGTATTTTTCCCCTTCGATTCGGAGAAACAAATATGTTTTCGGAGTAAAGGATGGCAGAAGACACTACACTACCCAGAATCCCCAGCTATCGTTTGGACTACACCATGTGCTCTGTTTGACATCACGTGATCTTCAAATTTCTCCCTGCAGAAAAATAAACATGGCCGAACTTCGTTTTATTCTCGATGGAAAATGCCTATTTTAAAGTTGGTTTAGCCATTAAAATGCGTTTTGATGTAATTTGATGCGAGAAATATGAGTTGTTATTTCAGATTATGTGTGCAGTGGATGTACATGATCTTTAGTTTGCTAGTTATTACGAAGATTACTTCAGGAAGTTTTCATTGTTACCAAGGTGGTTGCTAGGGACGCTGCTATCGATATTATTTCTGTTATGTTGTGTAACTGTTTAATGGTGTTATCTTTATTGCTACCCCCTTCCTCGTCAATGTATAGTGTTGGTCCACAGCGCAAACGTATTAGTTTAACAAAATCCGCATCTAAAGATAGCCTACGTTATTTTCCCCTGTGCAATTCCAGTCTCACATCTCACAGCACATCGTCATTAACAAATAACGGAAACAGACCGAAAACATTTAAAAAAAAATACAATAATACTTTATTCCGAGTGTGCTTGCTTTTCTCTTTGGAAGTCATCACATAACGGCATTGTAATACACGGTTCGGCTGCATTAAATATTACATATCTGCCGTAGTTCTCTATGTATATAGCCCTGATGAGAAGACTTCTAGACAAACATGAGGAACTGAAAACGTGACGTGGATCATAAATATATCAGCAGTTAAACAACATCTTACATTTCTTTTCACACAATACGTCTCCTTGCAGTATCAACACTAATTCGGCTGACTTTTATATTTGATCCAATTGGTAGATAGGCTGTATTTACACCATAAAGGTGCACAGCTGATATAAAGGGACACCTAGTGGTTAAAGCATGTTATTGAATTTCATTATTTTTATTATTAGATATTAATAGGATCCCTATAAAGTATATTCATTACTCGTTATTCTCTACTAATAGTTCATTAAAGACTGTATATAATGACTATTTTGCACATCCCTTTCAAGATTTCAAGATTTTCTAAGGTTTATTGACATATCATATAGGCCTACACAACTACGGTGTAGTTATGCATTGAATGAAAAACTTGGGTCGCAGGTTCCTCAATATTGCATTACAAGACATCTATCAATATTTGTGCGTACCTCCAGCAATGTTAACTATGTTGAAGCACTTATTTTAACTGATATTATACATAATGTATTATACTCTTATAAGATGTATGTAGATATTTCATCTCCGACCTTGTCAGGTATTGAACAATAAAGAACAGAATTGTTGAATATAAAACACAGAATTTGTGTGATTATACTAAATGATTTACAAATAAACACCACTGCATATTTAACTGTAACACATGCTGATGTAACGCAAATGTTCCAACTTGAGATCAATAAAGTATATATTATCTTAAGCTGATCGATGGCTACTGCCATATTTGCAAAATGTGCCTCTGAACCTTAACAAGTGCATGTTTCAGGCTTATCAATTAATGTAATGTAATGTAATGTTATCAATTAACAACAGGGGTCACAAACATAAGACCAGCTGTTAAATAAAGCTCTTCTGACCTTAGCTGTGTGTATATATAATGCTGCCCATTATGGGCACAAGCAATTTTCACCCATTTATTAATTATATGTTTTAAATGTGAGTGTTTCCTATCCCCTAAACCTCCAGGGATGTACACAGTTTAATACTGGCAACTTCTTATTATGGGAAATACGAAAACGTCTTTTAAAACTACAACTCCCAGTAGAGACGTGCCATAGATACAGAACATGTTGCGAAACAGAATAGCCAGCATTTGTAGTTCTGGGGACAGGGTGGGGGAGGGGGGGACGCGGTGGACCCGTTCAAATCCAGTTTTGGACAGTCTGCCGTGATTCCATCCCATTTCAAGTGCTGTTCGAGAATCGGCGTAACCCTCGGAGCACACTCTCCAATCACAGAGCTTGAGGACTATCACGGGGTTTGTCAAACAGAGCACATGGTGTAGTCCAAACGATAGCTGGGGATTCTGGGTAGTGTAGTGTCTTCTGCCATCCTTTACTCCGAAAAAACATTCGTTTCTCCGAATCGAAGGGGAAAAATACAAAAGCATTGCACACAATTTAAACCAATCAATGTTGTGTAATTAACAAAGATAATCTGGTGTTTTTTAGTCGATGAGTAGTGCAGATATCACTGTAAAATCAATCGACAGTAAGGGGAATACTTACTTCCGGGTGTACAATTCTCCGTTATCCAATGAGAATGGACGCTCACATTGCCTTTAAGGGCAGTCGACACAAACGAACGCCGTGCTTCCATGAGCGTCCATAGAAGCATATGGAGATCCCGGAAAGCTGAAAATGGACGCTAAGGCCCCCCCCCCTTGCGTTGTAAATGGCCGCTAAGGCCCCCCCCCCCTTGCGTTGGAAAAAGCCGACAGGGGACTTGACATAACGTCAACATAGGCCGACCTGGGAGTGAGGATGTGTTGCCCTGGACAACAGGTGTTATGCCCGCCGAGCCATGCATGCACCTCGCGCGCACAGCGTAAAGCGAAAACGCCCAAACATTTCAATGATTTATACGGCAAAGTAGGCCTACGGTTTGGAAACGATATAATTTTCTTTTTGGTTCATCAATGGTGATAAATAATCTGAAGTCTATAGTTTATGAACATTAAGAGTCATTAATATTTATATTTTAGTAGCATTTCCTTGATATGATTGGTCTAAGTTTGCAAGGTTTATTTGAGTAATCTTTCATTATTTTTCAGGGCGAACCCTCGTGTTCTTTTCGCTGTGTTTTTAAGCATTTCAGACAGCTTTAATAAACTGTTATTCTAAAATGTTAAATCCAATCTGTCAAATAAAGTGCTGATACACTATTTGATTCACAGTTTGATTTGAAGTGTCCTTACTCTAGGAACAAAGTTGCTATGGGGATGCATTATTTCGGCAACGCTGGTTTTTTAGCTGCCAGGATTTGCATCCCCACGTGATTTCAGCCAAGATGAGTGTTTCCCGCGAGGTCCATGCAAAACACGGCATAACACGGTCTGTTGTTCTATGATTTTTATAACACACAGATGGCAACATGAAAACTATTTAGGGCTCTTAAAGAGATAATTTAAACAATAATTGACAAAGAAAGGTTTGCCTATACCTTTGTTGATTAACCATGGTAGAAACGACGCCTCTTCTTTTTCCCCGGATTGTTTAGCTATATGCAATATTTGGTCATGTAGCCCATGATCTGTCTTGACTCAGGTTTGCATTTCTCTGGCAATGCCAAACCTGTTCCAGGCATCTCCTTTTATATTTCTAGTGCAGTGACTTTCTGTTTTGTTTCCCAGAAACGATTGTCTAGTTTACAGTCAAGTGAAACTTATGGTTGGTCTCAGGGGCGTGTTTACATGTTCTCATGCTTTGCTTACATGCTCGCATAACTTGGAAGTTTACTGACATTTACATACCTTGTTTACCTGGCTCAAGTGGTGGATCTGGGGTTGTTGTGTGAGCCACCACTTGAGAATTGACGTCTTTTTAAAAAAAAATGTTTCTTATGTTCATCTTCAAAAACGCTGAGTCCGACTGACAGTTGAAACATTGTCACAGCTCACAGGATAAGTACCTGTCAGCCAATAAGACACTCTGGTTGGTCTGGTGTCTTGCCTCTGTTGCATTCACTGAACACGGGAAATTACATTTCTGCCGTCCTCTCATGATGAGGTTCAGGTAAAGCACGGTTAATGTATTATATTATTGAGGGACAATTGTCCGGGGCTACAGAAAAAACATTCGGGGCAAAAGGTCAGGCGACGCCACCTCCTTTTTCTTAAGGTAAGAACCCTTTTATACAGTCTATGGGTAGAACAGAATACATACTAGTAGTACCTTCTATGGCCTGCGGGTTGTCGCCCATGGTTGTCGGTGACGTTGAGTAAAATGACCCAGGAAGTTTGACTGCTTCCGGGACACACAGAAAATAAACGTTTAGCTTAATGCTACTTTGCCTGAAGCTAATGAAATGCACATATTTCAGGCGTGAGCAATGAGAAAAGGCATACGTTCTGTCTTAAACTCGTATTTTTAAGGTAAGACCGCTCGGTACATGGGTAAACTACTCAGAGTATTGACACATACGTAAATAACACGGTTATCTAGCTTAGCTCACCCAATGCTTTTGGGCTCAGTAACGTTAGCTAGCTAATGTTTATCTAGCTCTAGCAGGTCTAGTTCAAAAAGTGACCTCGGCTCGTTACTCCGAAACTCAGTCACATAGTTAATGTAGGCTATGAGATAAAAACGTTGGTTTTGTCCTGGCAAACATTAAAACACTCCTGAAAGACATGTGTGGGATTACCAATATACACTTCAAAATACAACCGGCTGCTGTTTAATAAACTAAAAACAACGTTTATTTGCCCCAAGGTTTGCGGGGGGAACGCTCTGTAACCGGGTGTCACAGATGTGGCTAATGTTGGACGTCTTTCTACTGTAGTTTTCTTACCGGTAAAACAACGTTATACTTAATGTTGTAATATATTTTATTAACGTTAGGGATATAATCCATTCCATTAACTGCCTTGTAATGTTAATAATCTATTTCTATGCTACAGGTTACTTTTAGTTATGTACGAGTTATGGTGTAGGTAGGCCTATATGTAACTAACGGTATTTTGATCATTAACTAACATTATCTGCTTGTTATGCACTCGATTAATCTGGTCTACAACATTTGAGATGCAATGGAACAAATATGTTTAGAATTGAAGAAAGCTAAAAGTGTCACATTGAGGAAGCTGGAATATGGTAATGTTTTTGTCCTTTAATTCAGGACTACGGTACTTATATTTTAAAAGTAATTGTCTCTGAAGAATGAATGCAGGATCTATGATGTAGAGATGGAACTATAAGTAAATTGATGGGAAATGAATCAGCATCTTCCCTGTATGATAATCGATTCATATGTTGCCTAGTTTATTCATTGTGAGGATCTGCTGCTTTTCATTGTCCTATGGGATACTATAATAATAATAATATATTTATTTTGTTAGCGCTTTTACAGGTGCTCAAAGACGCTTTACAGATATAGTGAAAAGAACAACAAATAAATATATATAGTTAAAGTCAAATAATACAAAAACAATCACACATTAAAAGCCAGATTGAAGAGGTGAGTTTTTTGAAGGTGGTGAGGTCAGTGCAGTATCATGACTATCTTCGAATATTTACTGTTTGTCAGAGGTTGATTATGCCCTAGGGCTTTGGGAAAGACTTGATTATTGACTTGCATTTTGTGTGTGAGTGATTATTTAAAAAATGATATCAGAAGAGAATTAAAATACTTGTAAGTTGCAGCCATATTAAGCAAATGTTTTGTTTGCTCGGAAATCTCATGACTAGTTTTCATCAAATGTATTTCCCCAGCTTTCCTGCTGCTGCCTACGCACACTGAGAAACATGAGCGATCCACGCACCCCAGGAATGTCCTCCGTCCCCCAGGCAGCCCCGGTGCACACTGACTCCACGTCTCCGGCGGTAGAGATGGACCCCGTGGAGTACACCCTGAGGAAGCGCCTCCCCCGGAAGCTCCCAAAGAGACGGAACGACGTCTACGTCAACATGAAGACTGATTTCCGGGCTCAGCTGGCACGCTGTCAGAAGCTGCTGGAAGGCGGGGCTCACAGGGAGATCTGTGTCCACGGCCTGGGCCTGGCCATCAACAGAGCCATCAACATCGCCCTCCAGCTGCAGGCCAGCAGCCAGGGGGTGCTGCAGCTGGCAGCCAACACCTCCACCGTGGAGCTGGTGGACGACCTGGAGCCTGAAGATCCAGACGAGGCCGGCGAGCACCTGACGCGTACACGCAACAACTCAGCCATTCATATCAAGGTTTTCTACCCTGACCCCCAGTGACCGAAGTAGAGGTGTGCTATTTGTTCCCTCATAAACCAGTAGAGAGATATAACACTGTTGTCTGTGTGTGGAGATATTTGAGGACAGCAGCAGAGGACTGCAGAATGGAGCAGGATGCTCCGATTGGGACAACTTTAGTTGACTAAATACATTAAGCTCTTGTTGTCAATTGCAAATTGTTGTTTTTTATTTACTTTGCATGTATTGAGGCAGCAATGGTGATTACCACCTCAATGTAATGTAATACTTGTAGATATAGCTGTGCCAAATGTACAAGTGTCTTTAATTTCAAGGTCCAATTAAGGGTCTATAAAAGGGTTTACAGTTCCATGTCTTTATGTTTAAAAGATACAAATACTTAGAAATCCTGAGTTTAAAGTAGGTGTTGTTGCAATTCATGTCCACTAGATGTCAGTAGTCTCTATTTAAATGTCATGTTATTGAACTGCAGGTGGTGTCCATGTTCAGAATGAATAGGTAAAGGACAGTTTTCAGTAAGAGGCTGACTAAGTGTTTGATTTCTTGAAAAATAATATGACTTGCTGAATGTTATCTGTAACCCTCCGTGGGTCAGGGTCAAATGAATGCCAGTCATTGAAAAACAATATTGTCAACTCTGCTGACCTGAAGATAAAGATAATGAATGAAATGGACAGACTTCCCCTTGTTGTGTTTCCATCTATCTTTTCTTTATCTGAGAATAATATTTAGTATTTAAATAGCAGATAATACAGTTGGGGGACAAAAACAACAGGAAAGAAAACATGTACAAACATCCTCAACAAACATCTTGCACTTGAACAACAAGATTTAAAAATACGGAAGAAAACAAGGAAGAACACTTTACCGGTCTGAAAGAGATGAACATCAACTTTATGGAAGTTCCCAGCGCTAACTAATTGCCTGCATGTTTGTTGACGAATAAGAAACGGCGAAAAAACAGTATTAACGTCAGATTCTGGAAAGCTATTTGCTATTGCAGCCTCACAGGATGTTACTTGTAAAAGCCAAACAGCTTTGTTCCGGGCAGTCCGGCTATCAGTGTGTGGAGACTGACTGAGTGTTGGTGAGGCAGCAACAAAAACACAGATAGTGACAACAGCTTCACAGTTCTCATGTAACCCTCCAGCCACCTTCTCACTGACCTCGAAAAACTGTAACCTCTGCTCCAACTCTTCAGTCCTCTGTTCTGTGGAAAGGTGTGAATCTAACGGCTTGTTTTGTACAAACTATTTGATAAAAACGAAGACAGCAGCGTGCTATTGCAAATGATGTCAACAAACAGCTTTGCAATATTGTACAGTGTTACACAAGAGGACATGGCAATACTACAATCTTTAAGATCCAACACTAAAAAAGACAAGTTAAAAAGTAGAAAATCTGTATAAATAGTATTCACACAACTTTAACATATGTATACAAATATTCATTGCAAACAAATCCACAAGGAGGGACTAATGTGAGGCATAGTTGAAACATGTTAAAGGATTTGGGGAAGGGCCTCGTTCATTTTGGCCATGGTTATGGAAATGGCTGCTCTTTTGTAACCTCATTTCTCCAATATTTACTATGTGTTTCACTCCAGTTGACTGTAAAAGGTGAGAGTAGGGGTAAAACACACAGGGAACATACACACTAGGTACAGATTGATTCTGTTTCAACTCACACACACAGTGCAAGATAGTGCCAGTAGAACAGCTTGGAGCAGTGCTTCCCAAAGGCCTCGTTTTGGTCAGTGTGTGCTTCAACATGTCACTGTTTCACATCTACTTTCCACGGTGCAATCATCTCCTCTCCATCCAAAGCTTTGCTGGGACTGTCCTCTCCTTCCAGCTTGGTCCCCGTGTGCGAGGACGGCTGCATCTTTCTCTCCTTCCCCTCTTGGTTCCAGCAGCCAGCGTGCGGGTCAACAGTGTCAAGTCCCTCCTCTTGCCTTCGTAAACACAAATGAGCTTCGCCTGGAGAGATCAGCTGACGTCTTGCTGGCAGGCCTGTGCATCCATGAGAAGGAGGCGCACCTTGCCACGCAGGAAGTTGACGTGAACTTGAAGCAAATCTGTTGCCAAGGACACCCTCCATGTTCCTTCAAGCTCCGCTGCACTTGCTGGTGGGGTATACTCCTAAAAGACGACACAACAAACACATTGCTCTTGTTCTCGAAAAATGTGTTTTCTTTTCTTCCTCCTTCAGTAAAACATCATAAGCCTGTGCTACAACATGCTACATATCCCCTTGTAGGAGTACGCCGTTTACTTTAAGCCCCAAACAAAACTACTCGTCAATCACTCGCATTGGTCTTGTCTTGGTCATTTTTGTGGGGGATATTTGTCTTGTTTTTCCAAGAATCAAGAACTCTATTTCCTGATCCTGATAATGAAACTTTTATTTTAGTGACTCTTGAGCCCAGACACAGACAGATCATTCAGTTTGAGTTTGCCTCCCCACAAGGCCTTTGCTTGGATCTGAATCATTCCAAAGGCTGCGTTGCCACAACATCATCAATCTAAGAAAGAGCTTATTCAGCAGCTTGTCATTGAAGCAGTATGGTTGGATTCTAGAGAATGTCCCATGACATGCATCCGTTTCTCTATTAAAAAACGTAATTCCCATATTCCAAGAAACTCTACTTGAGCTCGCGAATGATCACTAAATAGAACAATTAATCACATTGGATTTAAGAACCACGGCCTCTTACATTGAAAGAGTGTATACAGAACAGTCTTATTTAAGAGTGTGCTTGATGACTACATACAATGGAAGTATACGGTGACCTATAATACACCTGCAGAAGTAACTGCTTTTATTCTGAAGAGTTAAACATATTGCTGATGCAGAGATCCAGCCCTTTTTAAATCACATTTCGGCTCTTCACTTTAGTAAGATGATGCATCCTGCTGGGACTCACCTGGATGTTGAGGCTGCGCAGCACAGCATTGATGCTGAGCAGGTTTCTGATGGAGTTATCTAAGTGGCTGTGCAGAGCTGTGTTGGTGACTGAGGTCCTTAGCAACCCCAGGGCCTGTTGTAAGAGCCACAAGCCAGACTGCACCTCGTGGGCTTGATCTAATCCCTTGCAAAAATAAGAAAGACGCACAAGTGTAAGAGTCTATGGAAGCAGTACGGGTTGTAAGTATTTTTCTAGGAGGATTTTTGTGATGAAATGACATCCAGTGTCTGAATTTGTATTATAGCTGTTTGAACTTTCAACTGTGTTCAGAGGTTACTTACATTTGTCTTCTCCCAGACATCAAAGTCGACTGTGGTTTGGGGAACAGAGACAGATTCTGACAGGCTGCATCCTTCTCTGCACGACTTCTAAGACAACAAGAAAGTGGTAATGTTAGGCTACTTTTATCCAAAGGTGCATACGCATTCGCGGACTGCAACATCTCTGCAGCAATCTTCATCTGCTTATGGATCTCAGTATGCATACATCTTCCTCTCACCATAGCGACTTCTGCGTCTCGTGCTTCTTTGATGAAATGGTCCAGGACCCTCAGGTCACAGATTGGCCTCAGCGGGGACGATAGGCCAGGCCTGGTCCACTCCATCACTAACAACAGCAAGGTGAGCAGTCCTGCCAGAACACACACACACATACAGTCACGTAAAAGTTGCAGAACAATCAAGACAGAAGGGGAAGCTAGAAGGGCACCTATATCATTTTATATAGTCTGGTTTTTTCTTGAATATGCTCGTCGTGTTTTTAAACTCCATTGTTGTACGCCGGGTCATGAGACTGCAGGGTCGTGTTCACATAGAAATTGAAAGGAAAAGTTGAGTCAAAAAATCACAAACAAAAGCTCCAGACTCAAAAGTTCTTAATAGTTTTAAAATTGAGATTTTTCTCCAGGAAGTGAGCGCCAAACTAACCTGAAGCGTCAGTAGTGGATCAGCTCAACTTCCCTATATAAACCTGTGACTTCTCTGGATCTCTTAAAGTACAGTAGAAGCAGGAAAAAAGGCCAACAACCAAAAACCAAATCATGACAGTGCAGAAACGAATGCTTCTATAACCCTTATTTAAAACAGGCCGTTTTTTGTATCTAACTTTTAACATACAGAGAGAGTACTGAGCTCTGAACTCTGAGGAGAGACGTGGCAGTGCTTCTACTGTTGCGGGTCATGTGGGCACCCTGCCTCGTTCCTGTGTGCCGCATGCTGAATGCACTCTTTGACCTCATCCTGGATGTGTGACGCAGAATGATGATAACAAATACAGATGATCTTCCCAGGCAGAGACAAGTCTGGTACTGCTCCCAGAAAATACTCACAGATAACTAGCACACATGTAACTGTTCGGCAAAAGAGGATCCATAAGGACTGACAAAGAATATTGAAAGCATTACTGGTAGTACATTTGTTGCAGTTCTATAAGAGATCAATAGTATAATCAGCGTAACCTCCATGGCCACTGTTCTCTATCGTCATGGAGCACACTGTCGATCAGTCTGATAGACAACTGCACATCTGATGCATTCAAACCCCGTAAACTGTATGTATGTATATAGGGGGAGTTACCCACAGTGCCACATGACTTTGCAAGCTACTCATTAGTGCATTAGTAATACCGCATCCATACCATATATCACAAATGTTTTTTAATCCCTGCAGATTTGTAGTCTAGTAGAGATGAATAAACCTTCATAACATGCTGTTAACTGTGATGGTTATTCTCGTGAAAGAGAAGCTTAAAAGGGAGACTAAATGGAGTCTCTGAGATGTTTTCAAATTGCTACTAAATTAACCTCTATAAGAAATGGTAAACTAGCCACATGCTAACCGGAGATGAAGGATTTTCAGAATAACAGCTTAACTGGTTGTGCACAATAATTTTCTAGTTTTTCAGTATAAAACAGCATTTAAACTGAAGGTACATTTAAGGTACATTATGCCATCAAAACATTGATTTTAATTTCTAACAATGCACATAAATAGTGTCTTAAAGAGATTACTATTTGGGATTGTTTACAAAGCAATGGGAATAAATCCACACGCAGCCTGTTTGCAGCTACTTTAAACTTGAATTAAATCTGTGTGACTCAGTTTGAGGATTAACGCCATTATCCGCCATTGCCTACGTGAGAATTCATCAATCTAAACTGTGAACACACACCCACGTGCGCTCCCTCTCTGCATTCTGGGGGAGTTTACGGTCTAGGACTGTGGCCAAACTTGAAGTTATCACCTCTGTCTCCCATCATCAGCTGCCAAAAACCATGTTGCTATTCAAAATTGGCAGCGGCAGTCAAGTGGCAGTGCTTTGGAGAGTGGCAAGCTTCACTCTGGGTTTGTGTCAGTTGTTTTGGAAATATGACAGGGTGCTCATGTGAGCTGATGCCTGACACGTTCTATTTTAACTAATTAATGTCAAACAGGTGCACAGGCATAGTTCAGCAATTGCTGTGTCATGCTAGAGATGATGACTGAAGGGGGATTTTCCCAGGGAGTAAAAGAAACAGGTAATCATTACTCAGCTACTTCTCAGGAGTGTAATACATCACATCTTAAGTGGGAATCAAATCCATAACTCTAGCAGTAGTGCCTGCCTTGCTCAAATCGGTAAGGTTCAACATAATGCTTTCCATTATCTTTCTTAGAGGCTTTATAAAGATCTTTTTGAGACAGGATAGTGTCTATTCCTCCCTTTATGTTATGTCCACCAGCTGGTTTAGCAGTATAGCCTAATGTAAAGCAGTTTGTCAGAAAGTGGCAAAACACAATCTAACTGTGGTGGTTAAAAACAACCCTGAAGCATGCAGAAATAGGACTTAACATCAATCGCAGGACAACTTTGAGGAAAACAGGCATTTCCAAGAAACCCAGACCTCCGGAGCTTTTAAATAGTCTCAAAATTAACTCAAACACGTATACATAATAGCTTCAGCATATAGCAATAACGTGTTGACGAGTTCTAAAATGCTCAACATATAAATGAATGCAGAACAATGCACACAAAGTCACGCACAACACTATAATATTTAATGCGCTCTTACCTCTACCCGTTTTCTGTAACATTCGCAAACAGGTGGCGCATCTTTTAAAAACATCGTGTGTTTAAATATATATGCAGAAGCTTAAACTCAAGTTAAAGGCACCAGGCAAATCCAGTAAGTCATACAACCAAGTGCGCGGGTCCCAGCGCTAGTCCGACTGATGTGTAGGTCCGAGCCAAGAACATGTGCGCTGCCATGAGAGCAGTCACCCACCACACTTTGCATCACTGTCGTGCTTTGTCAAAACCTTTTATTTGCCTCCCCTAAGGATAAAGTGCCCGTTAGGACGAGGACGCACCTTTTTACGCACCAAGGTGAGCGATAAAACATCAACCCGTGAATGCAGTCTGGCTCTGCGTAAAGCGTGAAAATAGACTACTAAAGCCGGTGTACGGAGGTAAAAAAAATCATGTCACCCTTGAAAAAGAGATCTTTTGATCTCAAGGGGCTTTCACCTGGTTAAATAAAGGCTACAAACAAACAATGTCCATAACTCACTGGGAAACTCCATAGGATCACAGGGTCCTCGCGGTTTGGCCCAAAAGTCCGCCTATTGCCCACTAATTGGAAACGAAGCTCTTTTGTGGATATCATGCACTTATCCGGTAGGTGTTTCTAAAAACTGATCCTGTTTGATTTTGTATTGATGACTTTGAAAATAAGTTGATTGTTTTCTATGACAATCTAAACAACCTCCTCCCTTAAGGCAAAATTGTTTTCTTTCATTGTTATCCAGGCAATCCCTGTTTATAAAACGTTTGGCCTAAGTAATGTCTCGAGAAAATACGTGGGAGACTTCCCATCCATTGTTCCGATGATATTCAGAAACAGTGACCTGGTATACTTTCAAAAACACTGATTGTGTCAATATGAAATGATATCATATGAGCTCTTTGGTTCTGATTGCCAAAATCATTACGTTTTTAAATATAGGAATACTCTCATGCACATTCAGTGTACAAATGATGCCTTAGAAATCAAGGTTTGACACATATCAACATTTTAATAATCTGACATTTGAATTTGAGATGTATAATGTAGGCTACAGTTATTTCAGGTGATCAGTCGCAAGTATATTATTACAGCACCCTCTCATCCCTTTCCCACAGTGGCACATGTCACTGTTTCCAGCTTGTGATCATCCAAACTCTCCACCTCCAGGGTCGTTCTTGGAATAAAGGCATAGATAGATTAGCTAACAGCATGTGCTCTTATAAAGTAGAAGAAGTAGATGTATGCTGGAATTACAGCAATGGAAATGTATGTTAAGCTACTGCTACTCAGAGACAGATGTGTTGCAACTAAGGATGAAATAAGGAACAAGTGATTGCAAGTGGGGTAATACAGAATTAAGAACTGTTTGAAAGATTTTAATTTCCAATCTATTCAATATTATACATGAACATCATACATTTGTACATACAACCAAGTCCAGGGGCAGACATACAAAGCAACAAGACAATTCATACAGTAAATAAACAAAAAAAGGGAAGACAAATACATTTTGATACCTTCAGATTAAATGTTTTTAAAATATCAAATTAGTTTTGATTGCCTTCTTATTCCTAATGTTTTTTATAATGCTAATATATTGTAAATTATTGATAGAAATGTACAACATTTGGTTTGGAGTTAGCCCATTTCTTCTTATGGATATGAAATGTCCTTAAAATACAATTAACTGCACAAAAAAGACAACATCTGCATCCATACTATCATCCCTGAAGTACATAAGAATGTCTTCGTCCTGGAGTTGAACCTTTTGTCCTGTCTTAACTTTATTATTGAGCAAAATATGTTTTCCAATGAACCAAATTCGTTTCCAATTGATGTTTCCATGAAGTGAAGCCCAGAAGAATCTTCCTCTGGGCAGCAGTCGTATCATAATGTGAGGTAGGCAAAGTCAGTGTGTGGCCTCATGCCTGGGGAGGCAGGGGATTGGACAATAGCTAACTATGCTTGATTGCCTGCACCTTTTGTTGAGCTTGCATGGAGCTCCAGCAGCAGGGACACACTCAGTTTGAGCAGTTTTGTGTGAAGTTCTTTGTGTCCCTTAATAAAACGTAAGTCCATTTTACTTATAAGAGTTCTTACTTACTTATATATAGAATTATGTTGGTTAAAAGCGACGTAGTGTAACAATTGTACCTTCAAATGACAGCTTGGAACTAATTCCCACTGTCTAGTCTGGCGTACTAGTCCAGTGAAGCAGCTATCCCCACAATGTGCCACATTTAGAAAGTGATGGTGTACCCCATAAGACCCCTCGGGATACTTCTTCCCTGTTACAACGTGTATTCAAATCATCATCCAAAGCGTTGGGGCTGTGATGCTGCCGGAAGAACTGTCAAAAAGCCTGGGCATGGGAGGGAAACTCATGACCTTGCCTTGCATCAGCGCAGAGCCGAATTGGACCAGGGGGATGAAGTTGAGCCCCTTTATGCCCCTGGCTCGAGGGCTCCCAGCACCCTCACAGCAATGATCTGAACTACACACCTCTAGACTGCATCTTTTACGCTTGTATCGCTATTGGAGTGACAAAAAGAGCAGCAACGACTAATCTGTGCCAGCTTTTTCAAAGAAATTCTGCAGCACGGATGTTAGACATAATCCATTGCAACGTTCTGTGGATATTATGTCATAAAGTGAAGCCAATAGACTTATGATCAATATAGGTGCCAGGGTGGTATTTGAGGGGCATTGCTTAGACTGAAGTTTTGATATATCATTCTATAAAAGTTAACAATATGTAAATACAATTTAAATGTTAATTTACATGTCACATTGCATGTCTACTGGGTCTCAAGCCAGATGACAATGTTGTAAGGACTGCCGATCGGCTCTGGACATTGGGCTGTTTAGCCACAAAAAGAATCGTCCTACTAAATTGGAAGGAACGCAAACCAGCCTGCTTCACTAGGGACTCCTAGCTGAGGGAGTATCTGGACCTGCTGAATATGGAGCGTGCAGCTTCTCTGCTGGGGGATTTTGAGGCGAGACAGGAGGATTACGCTTCACTGTCCGCAGCTCTCATCTGACCCTGTCAATATGGCATTTCCTGTGTAATATCTTGTTTAGTTGCTTGTTGTTGCGTGCTTTGTGTTTTTTATGTTATCTGGTGCAATGTCTGTGTTTATCTTATAACTGAAAAAAATATATATATAAAGAAAAAAAAACAATATGTCTAATGTAAATTTAACAGGACTGGTTATCAGTTCAATGCGGATGTGATGTCATACGGCTATTCTATTTTCTGCACTTAAAGCAGGCGTGTTTAAGTCAATGTCCTCACCCTGACCTTTCACGGCCTCTTTGGAGCCAGAGTCAAGGAAATAAATGGAAATGTCCTGGAAATAAATTGAAATTTCCTGGAAATTCCCTATGTGTGTCACAGAGGAGTGGGGCGGGGTCTTCCAGGGGCCACACGAGGCTTTCCATCAAACAGGAAATATGTTTGCATATGCATTATCAGGAGCTAACATGCACTGTCAAGTGACCCACACACACTTGGAAACACTGATACAAGTTAGGAAGCCCACACCTCCCATGTTTACTATTGCAACAATGTAAGGTGCATGTACTGTAAGGCATGCACACATGCATGTTTACACATGGTCACACTTTTATGTAATGGAGAGGGTCAATTAAAACATAATGGAAAAAAAACGTTATTTTCTGAATAGTAGCTACAGTATATTGTATCTGATGTAAATATGAACGGTAAAGCTTGTAATAATTTATTTGCAGGATTATTTAAGTTACATTGCAAAGAAGACTGAAAAAAATCCCTAATATTTCTGGATCTGTACTTTTTGCAGGTATTTAAATATCTCTCACATATTCTACTCCTTCTTTTACACCTTACCCCTGATGATGAGTCAGCTTTAGTACTACATGGTCACCGCTGCTAAGCTGAGGACAATGTTGACAAATTGTTGCACTGTTTGCTCAAAGGGCTGTTTGCTTGTGTCTGAGCCAACAGGGGAGAGGAGAGCGAGACGAGGTACGTGCTGTGAGCCATGCTCCGTGGTCAGGACAGGGGATTGGGGTAGGGGTGAGGGATGTGTGTGAATGCGTGGGCAGGGGAATCCAGTCACACTGACTCCTTGTTTGGAATGGGACACTGTTATTGAATTCAGGATGATTTAAAAGAGATGGGGTAATGTAAAGGGATGTTTCCCTGACTGCCAGAGGTAACAACCTAAAGAGGGCAGGGGGGGGGGCTTTAATGTACTATATAAAAGGCTTTCTAAGTGCACAGCTGTTACAATGGAGTGTGTGTGTGTGTTACTTACTTTCTCATCCAGGTTTTGGGCTCGTGCCAGCTGGGTCTACTCCTCTGGCGCGACACAAGACAGGAAACTGACATAAAAGAATGAGACTGTCTGTGAGGGACACAGGAGCCAAGACAAGAGTCAGGACGGTAGACACGGACGAGGTCGGAAGTTATTGTTTCAGCTTTCAGGCTTCCATGGTGACAAGAATCTTATCCCTCAATCGAACACATTGTGATTCCATGGTGATGGCAACAAGTGTGGAGAACAATCCCCAACAGGAACCTCATCACTGGAGTTTCTCCCCAATCAAACGCTGTCATTTGGCCGATGAGTAAAGCATTTAACCCCCGTTATACTCCATTGAGGCTACTAAGTGGCCAACAACTTAACACTGAAAAAACTTTCTTTAAAACTACTAATTTTACATTGAATATGAATCTTTAACTTTCATTTGTATTCAGTACCATGTGGTTATACATATTTACAATGAAGATTATCCCCTCAGATATTCATTTGAACTTTCTCTTACTTTTTCTGGTTAGGTTATTTACACATAATTTGATAAACTGTTTTAACCTTAAGAGGTCATCTTAATCTGGTGTATGTGTATTTACTCCTTTTTAATTTAACCCACCTTGTTGTTTGTCCCTACAGCATCAGCTCCAACTCCCTGCTGCACTGTGAGCAAAGCATATATCTCATTAGGTATGTCTTCAACTTAAAATAAGAGGCTGCACTTAATTAAACCACACATTATTAAACAATGATGTAGCTCTGTCTCCCCTCCTACATTTGATATGTTAGAATGATTGTGTTCCCTGTAGGAATGTGCATGGTAACCTGATCTCAGATGCTTATCAATTGCTCAATAAAAAAGACGGGACTTCTGCCTAGAGTAGGGACGCTCTGGGATAATTTAAAAAGCCTATGGCTCGTCACATGTGAGCGCTAAGGCGTCGTTTTCCCAGCGCTGTCACCTAGAAATGTTTTGTCTTATTTGTTTTGCTGAACATGTTAAAGGAAAGACACGTGACTGTAACCGTGGATTGTGTTCAGTGCCAGTAATCTAATTAAAACCACTATATTTGTATTGGAGATGGTTTGGGTTGATGATGGGCAACTAAACCGAGGACTTTGAGTCAACGAGAGCACTGTGGTTAGGGTTAGGCACAGATCCAGTTTTTTGGCACAGGTTACTTAAATAAACACTGCATGTATCGAGGTTCAAGTGTCACAATCTCTCTATCACTCATCTCCAGCTACTTTCCTTGCTTAATCTATGATTGGATTGTTCTCTTGTTGCCATTCTCCCTCGCTTCATCGTTGTGACATTAATTCTCATTTAACTGTTTCGATATTTAACCAGGACCCTCATTAAGGATCTCTCCTGAATGTTATCCAAGTGTTTTAAGTTCCTAAACATAGCCACACAAATTGTAATCATGCTTTTTTATGTATACTGGGATTAAATGTGTTGTGAAATCATTTTTAAATACATATTTGCTGTTACAAAAGTGGCATGTCCTGTAGATGATGTGCCTCGATAATCTGGGAAGGTCTTCCTGTTGGAACCCTATCTGTTTGAGAGTGGCTCCAACTAAGTCAGACATCAAACATTATCCAATGTGTCTTGCCAAGACAAATACTTGCATCACAGTGTGTAACATTTGAAAAAACAGGACAGCTACAAGTGGTGAGGGGGTGTAAGGCCTTTTAAATATGATACACTACTTATCAATAACAATTTCAATTGGCCACTCAGAGACACAGCTGTCAGAATACTGTACGACTGAGTCGGGGTGGTTAAAATATGCCAGGCATGTCACGTTATAACTAACACCTCAAACTGGATGCTCATAACTAATCCTAAATGTTACCAACAGTAGTTCCTTTGACTGCTATTTAAACTATTCCATTCACAAATGTCTTGCTATACAAGAGAATTACATTGTTCTTTCTGATCTCTGGAGCATTATAAAACAAATTAGATAAGAGAAAGACCAGCATATAGATCCTGAAAAGATCTTCTTTAAAATTGAATTTGTAATAGTTGAATAAAGAGGTTCATTATCAGGATACATATCAAGAGGCAAGACTTTGTCTCATGAAATCTTCCAGGTTTCCCATGTGATCTGTCACGTTGCCTCTCAGTGGACTAAACTAGTGTCTCTGTTGCAGACAGGGGATGTAAAGCGCATGCAGTGTATGGCTGCCGAGCGGTCCCTTTCTTACTCAAATATCTGTTTATTCTAGTGCGCTTGTTGCCTCCAAGATATTTTGGGTTTCATTGTAGTTCTTTGGCCTCTTTGTGGAAATTCCTCATGGGTTTGTTTTTCGTGGCTATCAATTTAGATGGCTGACTGAAAAACTACCCATTCTTCACTAAGGAGACGCTCGTTTGTAAACAGGATTACTTTACTCAGCCAAAAACATTTAAATATTGAGACAACCAAATATAGGTTCAAGACTACTGTGCAACTTCCACCATCAGTGTTAAAATTGGTCAGTGTTAGGTATGTTTTTATCTCGGGTCATGTACAATTTCCTCAAAGTATGCTTAACAGAGTTTTGATTTAGGAGCATCCTTAGGCAAAACAAGAACAGCACTTGCTCAATGTGCTGGCATAAAGCATGGAAGTGTGATATTGTAGTTGGAATTACTAAAGTTTATATAATTATGTAGTATCATTTAACTGACACTGTCCAAAATGATAAACACATCTTTTGCCAGAGTGAAAAAACTCTCCGCCTTTCATTGATGTATGAAGTCTAATACTCGGTTTACAATATGGCCAGCTCATCTCTTCTTCCAAAGTGTTCTACATTCCTCAGGATAGTTGTGTGGGCTGTAGAGTTATATGGGGCCTGTTGACATGTGTTTTTGAGGACAAAGGAAGATGGGGGAAGGTGAGAGCATGTCCTGATTTGCATTCAACTTAGAACGAGCTGCAGTGGTTGTGATATTAAGAGAGGTCCCTTGGGTTTCTCTGGTGGTTATCAATAGTAGCAGTTAAGTGAATACTGTTCAAACAATACCTGTGTTTGTGTTTTATATTGATTTCTCTGTTTTGTCCTTTCATAAATGTAAGGACTACAAATGGCTATAAACATTCTGGGCTGGTTGGAGTAAACAGGGTTTTATTGCTCTGTGGGGGAGGTGTAGGTATGCAGGCCTTGAGACCTTTTGTTGTAAAGTGAGCCTGTTTGGTTTCCTGCTGGCCAGCGTTGCGTCTCCCAATGAGATGACCTGAAAAGATGACCAGCTGACCTAACACCAAACCCCTCCTTCTTGCTCTGGTATATATCCGGTGGATCCCTGGCGTTCAGCCTCTTCTTCACATGCTGCCCTCGGTGAAAGTAGCTCTGCAGTATGCAAACCAGTGCAGGAGTAAGCCGGCATTACTCCTTAAGCATTACAATATAACTGTAATATATCATGTTGTATTGTAATGATTGTATTGCATTGTCATATTGCCATTAAAGTAGATTATTGTTAACGGTTACTTTGTAGATATGGATTCCTTCCTTTATTATAACCAGCTGGATAGGGACGCGCGGAGATTTGAAAAGCGGATCAGATATCCCTTTTAATCTCTAACAGGGCCTACTTCTGTGATGTGTTAAAAACGGATGCACAGGCCTCCAGAGATCAGATCATATAATGAGTATAAAATAAATCAGAACCAAAAAATAGCATCCAAATTTCCACTTTTATGACGTCATTAGAAAAACAATATGTGATAGATTCGTTATCGTCCCCGTCACCCAACTCTGCTGGTTTTAGTGTCAACAGTCCCTGTACCCACCTAAGTGTAAAGTAGGAAAAATACTCTTTAGTGATTGACTGACAGGTGGCCTGTCCAATGGGAGCGCAGCAGGGTGTGAAGTGGCCCAACTGCTGTGTCCGCTTCATGCTTCTCTTCTGTCAAAAACACACATACAACAGGCTTAGTGACCATAGTATTGTTTTGCAATGACTTGGGTTGGTTGCATTTGTTTGTAAAGGGCCGAGCAACCTGTATTTAGCTGAGTGGTGTGGCCAGTGTTGCAGTCCTCAGAGGCACAGCATCCACACAGAGCATCGTCTCCCTCTGTGGCACGCCAGCTGATTGACAGAGAAACATCTAGATAAAACACCTCAGCTGGGAAGCAACAGAACGACAACCGAAGTTCACCAGTTGCTTTTCAACCCAACCTGAATGTGGGCCTATTGAAGAAGCAGGCTTTATCAAGATGGCTGTGCGACTTTTGTTTCAGAGTGGCTCTGATGTGGCAGCTGATGAACATCTAGAAAAAGAACATCAATTTAATTAAGTGCATTTTTATCAAGGATTCACTTCAACAATATCATACTCATCTTAAGGCCTTCATCAATTTAAAAGAAAATCTTGACAAACTGTACATGCAATACAATAATCACAGAAAACAACACCATAGTGCAAATGAATGATGACTACAATGTCAAATTAATGAATCAGCTAGTGTCTAATGTTGTCACCTGCTCCACAGTCTCCTTGTTGAGGTGGAAGGCTTGGAAACTGAAACATAGTCTGTTATCTTGCTTCCTAGGGAGGAACTTAGATGAAGACCCCGGTAAAACACTGTCCATAAGACATCTGTCACAGAGGAGCAACACATGGATTACGGAAATGATTCCATACAGTAAATGACAAACTTTAGACATGTGACTCTTCCAACCCAGTCAGATAAATGTTGTAACATGACAAATTGCCTCCGAGTATCCATTCAATCAATTCTTTCTTAGATTGTAATCCTTGCTTTGGCCCTGCGCCATATAATGACCCTTTGTTGTGAGTTTTTTGTGCTGAACTATTCATAAATGAGTGTTACTTTTTGTAGTCAGAAGAAAATATTGACCCATGCTTAGTGATGAACTTGTAGCTTGGCAATGAGAGGGGGTCCGGCTTCAGCGTAGCGACACAGGAGTCCACATAAAGAGTGAGAGGAGGGTGCAGTGGGGCCTCCACGCTTGCCTCCAAAAACACTGCTTCCCCCTGCTGATACACTGAGGAACTACGAGGAGAGGGACAGCCGTCTGCATGAGAACAAACAGACATTTTTTCAGTCACAACTTCATATACTGTCCAGAAAACACTTAAAAAAAATCTCAGCAAAATCTTCCACTGGTACAGGCTGGATTCAGTGGGCTGGTTTTACCTGCCATGGTGCGTAGGGAGAAGTGCAGAAGGCCGAAGACACTGATAGTTGATGTCATGGGTAGCCAGGTTGGGGTTAATGGTTCTCCACTCACCGTCTGCTTTCTGTGCTCACAAAGATAACCAATTGGTTACACAATTACAAAGTGTAGTCAGCCAAACACAACTCACTTTGTTCCTTTCAAATATAATGCAGCAAGAAACCTGAAATGCCATGTTGTTGTATGAATTCTTGTGTGCGCCTCACCTCTTATAATGGCACTCAATGGGTATGACAGTAGTTGCCCATCTTACTATCAAACTACCTGTAGAGGATGGAACAGCATTTGTGAGCACCAGCTGGTTGGAATACACTAGCCAATCACCATGAACCTGTAAAGTAGCATAGGGAGTGGCTTAAAACCACTTTGTTCACAGTATTATATTATTACAACATATTATCCTATCACTAACAGTAACACATACATGTCAGAGCATTTTGTATTGTTGTAAGAGGAACCCATTTTAGATACTTAAAATAATGGGTACATATTACAGTACTGCAGCCCATCATGTATTTTCATTAGTAAAAAGCAGTGGTTTAATGTGTACATTTACTCAAGTGCAAATTTGGGGTACTTGAACTTTACTTGAGTATTTCCATTTGATGCTAATTAGTTATTCTACTCCACTGCAATTCAGAGGAAAATATTGTACTTTTACTCCACTACATTTATTTAGTAGGCCTACCTTTAGTTACTTTTTGATTAATGATGTGAATTATAATCAACACTTAAATAAGACTTCAGTTACAAGCTACCCAGCAGTAAATAAACTAATTAAAAATAGTTCCACTTTTACCAGCTATGATAAACACATCAATAATTATAATCAAAACATATAATATATATTATGATGAAATGGGCCAATCTGCAGTACTTTTGGTAATTTAATTTTGATGCCAATACTTTTGTACTTTTATTTGAGTAACATGTTGAATGCAGGACTTTAACTTGTAACAGAGTATTCCTACAGTCTGGTCATTCTACTTTACAACATCTTTGTACTTCTTCCACCTACTGTAAAAAGTAAGTTTTAGAGAAATATAGTGCAGAGAAAAGTGCAATAATTGCCTCTGAAGTTGAATGGAGTTTAAACAGTAAAGTAACATTACATGGAAATACTAACTTAGGTAAAATATATCCCAGAAGTTCTTAAGTAGGCTACAGTACTTGAGTCAATGCATTAAGTGACATTCCACCACTGGATATTATTACAGTATCCAAGTAACTTTCCTCTCATTTCCCGTAGCCTGTCCCCTTCTCTTACACGGGACTCGGTGCCGCAGTCCTTCAGCTCCGCAGAGATGACCATGTCGGAGTCAGCCGCCGGTCCCTTCGCTCCACACCTCTTCTGGGTTGAGTTTGCTCCAAGCCGAAGATGCTCAGGTTTGAACGGAACACGTTTCTTCTCAAAAAACTGTCTTTTAACGGTTATTGTCACTTCGACTTCTCCGCACTTTATTTCAATTCCGCGGCTTTCACGAGTTGCAACATCACTTTGTTCAGCCAAGCTAACGTCCAACACAAACAGCAAAATATGGAATAAGCACACGAATATTATATTTACCCACTTCGCCATTTCTTTCTTCTAAATTAAGAAAAAACAAAACAAGCTAGCAATTTATAATTAGCCAACCGTCAAATTAATTACACACAGGTGTGCTGAGCTCGCATGCTCTTGAGAGCTTAATGCTTGCTTCAAAGACTGCTCAAAACATTGTTAGTTGAACAACATACAGAAGAACATACAGTATGCTGCGACTTGAAACAAGGAGATGTTTTATAATATCATGTAAAAAATGAAAGAAAACGATCATAAAAGCTACATTGGCAGGTGCAAATATTCGGCAACTTTATTCAGTATTGTCTACTAAAACGTGTTATTGATGCTCGCAATTAAATACATGTTCAAACGTCCCGTTGTATCGCAATGATGAAAAGGTGCTGTCATCTCCTGAAGGCATCATCGTCTGTAGGAACAATTATAAGGCGGAACAAGACATTTTGGCAAGTGGTGCGATGGGACTGTTATTGCAGTTACACAAGCAGACTTCCGTGTCAACAGCAGTTAAACTGTTGAACTCCAATGCATAACGTTAAATGTGTAGGCTATTCGATTGAGACAAACTACAACAAATGGATAAAAAGTTAATGGCAGCGGAATCTGAGGAGATTGACTGGGGAGAGAGTGCAGCGGACGAAGGGAAGATTATGAAGAGGACCCAAAGCTTATCCGAAAGTGTCCACACAGGTCTTCCTTATCCACTTACAAATCATGTGAAATGTTCTCTGATGAAAGGAGACTATCTCTACTTCCATTATGGCTGTGATGGACAAGATGACAGAGGTTGGGGATGTGGCTACCGCACTATTCAGACCATGGCTTCCTGGATTTGTAATAACTGTGTTCCACTTAAGGACAAACACACACCTCCACCAAGCCTCCCTGAAATCCAGAACGCTTTGGTCACCATGGGGGACAAACCCGGCTCGTTCTCACCCTCCAGGGATTGGATAGGGACATTCGAAGCCTCCCTGATTCTTGACTATTTCTATGATGTTCCCTGTAAGTTAGTGCATGTTAGAGGTGGAGGAGCAGAGCTGGAGCATGTTGCCGTGGAAGAGCTCCATCGGCACTTTGAGAAGCATGGATCTCCAGTCATGATGGGAGGGGACAGGGACAACTCTTCTAAAGGGATCTTCGGGGTGTGCACTGGGGGCGATGGGAGCTACCTGCTAGTCGTTGACCCTCACTACTATGGATGTCAGCTGGAGAAGATGGAGCTGCAGAGGCGGGGGTGGGTGGCGTGGAAGAGAGTGTCATCTCTGGATCAGTCTTCATTCTATAATCTGTGTATGCCTCAGACTGCCAACAGAGCAACATAAACGTACTTCAGACCTATTTCTGTTTCAGATTTACACTTGAATTATTATTTTTGAGGGTGGACTCTAAAAATCGTTTTATTAGTACAGACTTTGTACTGCATTTTCAGCATGTTTGATTTAAAATAAGCTGTAGGGACATCTTTTAGATGAAATGAATAATTACAACGAATTTAAAGACCAAACTGCTGATAGAAATTGATACATTTCTTCATCATTGCTCCATTAAAATGTATTAAATCTGAATCTTGGATAATGTGTCCATACATTCAAAAGTAAATGCTTTGGTTTGTGTTCATTTTAGTATAACATGTTATTTACTTTTCAGGGTATGAAACACGGTACATAAGTTCATTTTCTAATTTACCTGAATGTAGGGCAATCGTCGAAATGTCTGGATCAAGATTTAGATAGAACCTAACCCCTTTGTGGTCAGAGTGGTGGCAGCACTATACACAATCAACATTGTAAATATACCTACAAAAAAATACCTCAAAGTAGACCAAGCTAAGATTTGGAATTCATTCGTTTTTCGACATTCAATTATTTGTAATTTTTTTAACCAAATATGCTAAAGATTGTATTGTCTCAGGTTTTCAAAAGTGAAGAGTTACATCTTTGAATTGTGTTGTATTTATTATTGATGTGTTAGTCTAACAAAGTAAGCCATGTTTACATGTCACCTTTAATTTGTAGGATATATTGTGATAGACTTTACAATATTTCTTGAGATCTAACAAACCATGAAAGATGAAAAGAGAATGTAATTGATAGGGCAAATAATATTTTAATTTGGACTCACTCCAATTCCCCAATTTATTGCTTACAATATATGATGTGATTTTACAACAACTCTTATTTCCAGGCATATTTCAAGCTTCTGGAACCCAAAACCTTCCCACAGTGAAGTGTTTTACCACATTTTACTCCCGCATTAAATTAGATATCTGGCACACAGTCACTATAGAAAATCTGGAAGTTCTTATCCACATCCATCCTCCCCTTGAGAAACTTCTCCATGTTCTTCAGAGGAACTTCCACCATGTGGTTGTTGACACGGTCGTTGAGCCCATAAGCTGCAAACACGGGGAACTTGTAGCGCACAAAGTACGGTGCATTTTGGTCAAACTCGGTGCAGCAGTAGGCTGACCACAGGTACTCCGGTACAGCCACCCGGTCCAGGTTGTTGCGACGGATGGTGTGCCCGGAGGTGGTGACCCCGGTGACCACGTAGGCTTTGCCCCGGCAGTAGTTGTTGAGACGTTTGCGAATTAGGTCCCGGTGTTCTGCCCAGGGACCGATGTTGAACTCCCTGATCTGGGGCACCACATTCGTCAAGCTGTAGGTGGAGGCTTTGTCCAGGGGGTCAGCCTGATGCTCGTCAGGATTCAGCTGGCCACGTTCGTACAGAACCACATCAGCGTAGTCCTCCAGCACTGCCTGTGTGTCCTCGAAGTTCATGTGCATGCTTGTAGATTGAGGGAAGGGCTCCATGTTACTGCTGCTCTTATCTGAGGCCAGCTATAGAGGGAAAGAGAGGAGGAGATGCAGTTTTGCTGACAATGTACAGTAGTTACTACTAAAACGTTATAGTGAGAAATAAACGTGTAATCCTCATTCAGAGACTGTTACATCCAGACAAGTCACACAAATTATTTGCATAACTATGTACCAGAGCATAAATGGTTGAGGCAGCACTATCTTATTGAAATATCATTCAGCCAATAAAGTAGCTTATCTCAGGCTTTACTGTTGCCAGTAGCAACCAGTGTATAGTTCCCCCTAGCTTTCTTAACTGCTTGTTAGGGGTGAATATAATGATAAATGTATACAAATAGTGTTCATTAACGACAACATGGCACAATCCAATTGATATAGTATTCTGCATCTACAATAGAATAAGATTGACTCAGACTGATAGCAAATCTAAATGTTTGCTTGAATAAACACTCACCTGGGGCTCAAACATCCACGGGAAGTCCACCTTCTTCTCCCCATCAGACTTCTTGAATGTATATGCAGAATACATTGGAATGTGTCTTTGGGAGTCGTACACGGTGACAAAGCGGGGTTTATCCTCGTACCTCTGGCAGATCTTTGTAAAGGAGGTGCTGAGGTAGCCTCTGGGTGGAGTGCCCATGTAGAGGGAGTCCTTACAGCGCTCCACATGGTTGAAGTCCCCCACCACTCCTGCCTGGACCCCCGGGAGCCACACACAAGTCAGCACGGCCACCACAGCTGCCAGAGGTAAGGCCCACTTTGCTGAAGCAGGTGTCATCACAGAAGATCTCTTTTCCCTCAATCTCATAAACTACTAATATGTCCTGTTAGACCTCTTTATGTCTGATCGAATGTCTCTTTCTCCACTTCTGTCTGACAAGTACAGCCGCTCTCTAAACTACGTCAACATCTCCCAGCCTCATCTGTTCTCTGAGCAAACTGCACTCCCATAAAGTATTTTACATATATTCAAAGTTGCACAAGTGTCGTAGCAGTAATCCAAAAGGAGTGAATGTTATCAATCCAGGAGAGCATTTTATAACTGAGACCTGCAGAGGAAAGAATTATGCAAACCAGATATATATATATACATATATATATATATATAATAAATTAAGACCTTAAGTTGTCCACAAAAGGCTTTAGATATGACTTTTTGCCTTTTTTAATCTTGTTTTTTTTGGTTTTTCTCTGTTGAGACAGAGGGTTATAGAATCAGGAACAAATTCAGGATTGGAAAAAATGAAATGTATTGTTATGTCAGTCTATGTATGTATCAGATTAGAAGAGGACCTTTACTCTATAGTTTCTTTAAACAATGCAAAGCAGCCTTCTGTTTCATCTGTGGCCTCTAAATGTACCCGTCCCTTTGTCGTCCCAGTACAGACGATCTAAAGTCTGTCCCAAGGCAAGGCAAGGCAAGTTTATTTATATAGCACTTTTCAACACAAGGCAATTCAAAGTGCTTTACAAAAAATGAAAGACTTTAAGAAAATGGCATTTAAAATCAGTCATTAAAAAGAAAAGCTAATAAAATAAACATTAAAAGAAAAAATACATGGATAAAAGTTTCAGTGCAGTCAATTAAACATTAAAAGAAAAAAGTACATGGATCAAAGTTACAGTGCAGTCTAAGATATGAATAGTTCAATTAAAAGCAGCCACAAAAAGAAAAGTCTTCAGCCTGGATTTAAAAGTAGTCAGAGTTGCAGCGGACCTGCAGGTTTCTGGGAGTTTGTTCCAGATATTTGGAGCATAATAACTGAACGCTGCTTTACCATGTTTAGTTCTGACTCTGGGGACAGAAAGCTGACCAGTCCCTGAAGACCTGAGAGATCTGGATGGTTCATAATTTAGCAGGAGGTCAGAAATGTATTTTGGGCCTAAACCATTCAGTGCTTTATAAACCAGCAGCAGTATTTTGAAATCTATTCTTTGACACACAGGAAGCCAGTGTAAAGACTTCAGAACAGGAGTGATGTGATCCACTTTCTTAGTGTTAGTGAGGACTCGAGCAGCAGCGTTCTGAATCAGCTGCAGCTTCCTAATAGATTTTTTAGTGAGACCTGTGAAGACACCATTGCAGTAGTCCAGTCTACTGAAGATAAAAGCATGGACAAGTTTTTCCAAATCCTGCTGTGACATTAGTCTTTTAATCCTAGATATATTCTTTAGGTGATAGTAGGCTGATTTAGTAACAGTTTTAATGTGACTGTTGAAACTCAGGTCAGAGTCCATGACTACACCTAGATTTCTGGCTTTATCTGTTGTTTTGAACATTGCAGACTGAAGCTCAGCGCTAACTTTTATACGTTCTGACTTGGCTCCAAAAACCATTACCTCAGTTTTATCTTTGTTTAATTGGAGAAAGTTCTGACACATCCAGTCATTGATTTGTTCAATGCACTTACTCAGTGTTTGAATTGGAGCATAGTCTCCTGGTGAAATTGTTACGTAAATTTGTGTGTCATCTGCATAGCTATGGTAACTTATTTTGTTGTTTTTCATTATCTGAGCCAGTGGTAGCATGTAGATGTTAAAGAGAAGAGGCCCCAAGATGGAGCCTTGAGGTACCCCACATGTCATATTTGTCAACTCAGATGTGTATTTACCTATAGAAACAAAGTTGTTTCTGTCCTTTAAGTAGGATTCAAACCAATTTAGAACTGTTTCCAGAACAACAACAGCAGAGACCCCATGAGAAGGTTTGTCAAATGTAGTCTAGTTTTTATTCTAGTTATCTTGCTGCTGTTATTGTTACTGTGAAATTAAATATCACAGAAATGATTCAACAACATGTTAGTTAAAGGTTGTAAAGGTTTATTTCAGCAAATAAGGCAAGGCGGCATTTTTGTGAGATTCATGTAAAATACAGTAAGAGCACTAAACATTTCAGTCTTTAGTATGTATTGTTGCCAGTGGTAAAACATTAAATGTTGAGCTGGATTATATGAAGGACCATAGACTATTGTCACAGAAAACATTTTGAAGTTACACAGCAGGAAAGGACCAGGTTTAAATTATAGAATTGCTGAATAATAACTAAATTCCATTCAACTGCTAACAGAGCCATTTTTAGTGTGCCACTGTGCAAGGAAGAGATGACAGAACATGACCCAGTGTTATGGCTAAATTGCAGGCCTTTATAGCTATATTTTTTGCCTATTTATTTTTACTGGACCCTGGGGACACACAGTCACCCACAAAGATCCGAAAGTTCTGTTCTACAAAGGTTGTCTTCTTGAGGAACTCCTTCAGCTGCTGTACGGATATTTCCACCACCTCGTTGTTGTTGTTGTTGTCCTCCTCTTCATTCAGGCCGTAGTGAGCGAAAGATGGGAACTTATATCGCTCGCTGAAGGGTGCGTTGTTGTCGTAGTCAATGCAGCAATACGCTGACCAAATGTACCTGGGCACTGCCACGCGGTTCATGTTCTCCCGGCGAATCATCTTCCCAGAGGTGGTGATACCGGTGACGATGTAGGCGGTTCCGCGGCAGTAGTTGTTGAGCCGTTTGCGGATGATGTTCTCCTGTTTGTTCCAGACTCTGTTGTTGAAGTCGGGCGTCATGGGCACGACATTGGTGAGGGTGTAGGTGGAGGCCTTGTCATCTGGTTCGTCCTGATGCTCTTCTGGGTTGAGGGTGCCACGCTCGTACAGGACGGCGTTTGTGTAATCGTCCAGGACTGCTTGGGCATCTTCGAAGTCCATGTGCATGTAACCACGTGGAAATGGCTGCATCTCATCTGTATCAGAATACGTAGAGAGCTGTGTGGACAGATAGAGCAAATGAGAGGACAATGATAGGACAGAATGTGATCTGCATGAATTTCTTTTTTTAATTTGTAAATATTAAAGCATGCTGTTCAGGTTAAAACATCTCAAAGCATCTAATGTGCATTCCTTATTTGTCCCTTACCTGTGGTTCATACATCCATGGGACATCGACGCATTTCTCCCCAGCTGATCGTTTGAAAGTGTACGCAGAGTACACAGGTACATGATCCACGGTGTTGTACAGCGTCAGGTAGCGTGTCCTCTTGTTGTAACGCTGACAAATGAACCTGAGGGAGGGGTGTTCCAGACCAGTCGGTGGTGTTTGCATGTAAAGGAATTGTCTGCATTCTGAAGACAGCTCTTTTTCCACTCTCCCTCTTACCGCTGATGTTATTAGGTTGACTAACAGGAAAGTCTGCACCCAAAATGCCATAGTCAAGACGTTTTGTCACTCAAGCTGTGAAATGTGAGCTGCTCAGAGTACTGAATGTGCGTCTATGGCTGTCCATGGAGCGCATTAAAACAGCTAACAGGTTTTACACAATCAGGGCTCAATATGCAAAACAATTCACTTGAGCATGGTCCACCCACAGCTAGGGGGACAGCTTCAGTAGACAGCCAATAAAAAAAGATATCAGATTTTTCCTATCTGGTGTTTGGCTTGGCGTTGGCCCCATATAGCACTTGACTAAACAGCACATCTTCTTCAGTGAAGCCCTAGCAGCTGTTAAATTGCTTACAGACGTATGTACAGCAATTGTCTTCTTACCTACGGTTCTTATCCCCTTTGCCTGGAGTTATCAAATGTTTTAGGCAATACATTTGAAATGAATTCTTCCCCAAAAACTACAACGTGCAATTTCACTTCAAAAACATTCAGAGAAACACATTAGTGAGACATAATTGTACAGATTACAGATTGATTTCACTACAGAATAGGAGATGGGGGACATTCAATTAAGTTTAAATAAGCAACACTAGAGAGATTCATAGACAGTGCACTCTGAAACGCACATAACAAAACAGTTGCTTTATTCATTTATTTACACACATGTTTTTTCGCAGATGTGATTGGCCGTGAACAATGTCATAAGTTATTAGTATGTACAACTTGAGAAAAGTTAGAAAAAAAGTATCCATGGTGGAGATAATGCCTATATGTAATGTCATTTTACAAAGTGGAATCCTAACCTGTCCAACATATTTCCATCACTCATCACCCTATACCTACAGTATATTAGAGAGATATTTACTTTTCATCAACAGTATTGGTTAATAAAAATAAATTACCTAAATATTGATGCATGGCACTGCCACTTAAACAGTAAAGGGCCTTTTATAGGATTAAGAGTTATTAGGATTGTGCTGATACTAGACAGTGGATACAGGATACAACAGGCTCTGCTGCTTAGGTTTGATTAGTCTTCTTATTCAGTAAACATGTAAAGGCAGGACTTCTTAACACTGCTTCTAATAGGTTTGTTTGAGTTAGTCCATAGTAGGTAGACAATCAATTACATCTAGATGTCCCATCACACTGAAACACTGGTCAAGTCTCTCTTCTTCTTAAAGGTGTTTTCTGACACACAGCCCTTGTAGAAAATATTCAGGTCATTGTCTGTGTGGCTCTTCAGGAAGCTCTCCAGAGTCTTCAGAGGGACCTCCACCACACTGTGGTCAGTCTGCTCATTCAGTGCATAGCCCCCATAACTAGGGAACATGAACCTCACCTCATACGGAGAGTTACGGTCAAACTTCGGGCAGCAGTAAGCCAACCATAAGTATTTTGGGATTCCCAGGCGGTCCCTGTTATCTCGTTGGAGGGTCCCTCCAGAAAGAGTCACCCCTGTCACTATGAATGATTTGCCGTGGCAGAAGTTGTTGAGGCGGCGGCGGATAATGTCCAAGTATGGGTTCCAGGAAGCGTCCAGGAGGTTTGCGAGTAATGGGACTACATTGGTGAGAGTATATGTGGAGGATTTGTCGTCTGGCTCTGATTGGTGCAGGTCAGGATTCAGCGGGCCCCGTCTGTATTCTACAGCGTCTGTGTAGTCCTCCAACACGGCCTGGCTGTCCTCAATCAGAGGGGGGGTGTCTTCAGTGAGGGGAAGGGCTCTCATGTTGCCACTGTCATTATCAGAAACCAACTGAAGAGATAAGATTTGTTATTGGTTTTATTTCTTGTATTTGTTTGATGTATTATGTTGCATTGTTGGAGGGGACTGGGACTTACATTATTCATTGCCATATCTACGCTACTGTGCATATGACAATAAAGCCTTTGAATTGAACAAATTTAATAATTGTGGTTAGTATTTTGAAAGTGATGGTAATCCAAAAGCCAGGGGATTTATGCCAGTTATGAGTGGTTGGTGTAACAAACTGCTAAAACAATAATAATCCAATGAATGGTTTAAAAGCTTAAAGGAGTAGTTGTGGGAGATGTGCCTGTTCACGTTCTTTCCAACAGTCAGTTTTATGTTTGTAAGGCCAATAGTGTTTTTGTACCGGTAGGCTGACTCTCTGTTTTTACTAAGCTTGCTAACCATCAGCTGGCTTCAGAATAATATTCTACATAGTAAACGTATTGTGGGAATGATCAAACTCTCTCTATTGAGCATATGTTCCAAAAAGGTCCTTTATCTGTCACTATTCCTTTAAATATAGGTGTGTTTGGGGACTTGCTTTTGTGATTGACAGGGCTTTTAACCAGTTAGCAATTACTGTTTATTCGTCTGGCATGAAGTCTTCTTTACTACATTCTGTCTCTTTTAATTGGAAAATAAAAAAGCGTATCCCTGTATTAGATATTTTCTGTTCCTTTGCAAACCTTCCTGTTTTCTTTCAGTTTGTTTGTTTTGTCTCTAATAACAACAATACTGACTGATCTTCCTGCAAAGGTATTGTACAGGGATTATACTATCCTGAGATGAGTCATTATTGCCCAAATAACATTCAGGTATTTCAGGCTTAAGGGACAAATAAAACAAACTAGTCTCTACCTGTGGTTCATACATCCATGGCGTGTCCATCCTCCTCTTCCCATCTGACTTCTTAAAGATGTATGCTGAATAGAGGGGGAGGTGGCGACTGCTGTCATACAACGTGGCGTAGCGCAGATTGTCTGCATACTTCTGGCAGACCCTCCTCAAGTTGGTTCCCTTTATCCCTGCAGGCGGTGACTGCATGTAGAAAAAGTGGCTGCAGTCTTTGAAGCTTTTGGACACATTGGCACTCACCAGGGGGGACGCCATCAGCAGAGAGAAGCTTAGGACGCAGGTGCCAACCAGATGCATCATCACACATCTGCACTAAATGAAAACAACAGAAAACGGGCTATTTTCCTCATCCATCGTGGGTTTGACATGTCCTGTAACACACCTTTTTAAGAATGAAGAAATTCCATGGGGTTTGAACTATTCTGATGTCATCCTGTATTGGTGTTGCAGTCATAATCTAGTAAGGTATAATGACTTTTGGACAGACACTCAGTATGCAAAGCAGCAGTAGCTTAGAGTGAATCCATTGGTTAGACAGGACTTATCTGCTCCTAAAGTCTGTGCAGCCATGCATCTCTGCACATGCTTCTGTCGGGCTGTGTACCAATTCTAGTTTATGTCATGAATCAACACCCAGGTATTATACACTGCACATCTGACCAGGTACACATATTGTTCCTCTTGATGCATATTGTGTTTTCATCTCAGATATAATTAATGGAAAAGTAAAATACTGTGAGTCTGTGAGACATTAGTTACATGTAAAGTTGCAATTTGATAAAGCAAGTGTGTGCAGAAACGTAAGTATTTTAAAAATGAATATAAAACATATGTTTACTTAATGTAGGCTGATTAGCTGTTACTCAGATTTGTTTAGGATATATGAGCTATAGTAACATTAAGTGGATAATGATTCATGGTTTTACAATTCTTTTTTTATAATTTCCAATTGCATATCACCAGATGATATTCACATACAATATTGAAGGTTTTATTTGATGGGCCATTTCAATGGAGCACAATATGCGCACAGAGCGCCCTCTGCTGACTAAACCCTATATTGCCGTTGGCAAAAGTCTCGCGCATGCTCAGTTTAGCATTGCTAGTCAACAAGCTCTGCTAGTGATTCAGTTCATTTTCAAGGGTATTGATCAGGGTATTGATAGCGAATACCTCACAAATATCTCCTTATGCATTTCAAGAATACTGCTTTTGATTACAACGTGTGCGAAACAACTTTTACAGGAGTTAATGTAGTTATTCTACCACGTGAATGTGTATTATTGAGCTGGCTGTTTCTGACTTATGCCAAAAATACAATGTTATGCTACATTTGTCCTCGCAGCGGCAAACGGCAAATTAAAAACACCTTTATCTGAGACACTGCATTTGAAAAATACAGTTGCAAAGTGCAGTACACGTCGGTGTCCAGGCTGATAAACAGGGGTGTGTTTGCCCTGCTACAACATTGGTTAGCCACTTGTCAATGTGCAGTCACGTGGTATCACACGGACGGCCATGTTTTCGAAACACAAACAACAAGAAGAGCAGCGACTAGGAGCCAGCAGACACATACTGATACGCAGCAGCGTCCGTTGGAGGAGAGGGGAAAAATAATAAATAAAACACAGAGCACGACTTTCTGAAAGTACGATTCTGTCGAATGAATACGTTTACAGTGTTTAAGAGACCAATGCATACGAGATATTGGCAGTAGACACACCGTACCGACAACCAGTCTGGTAACGTTAGCTATAAACAGTGAAGGTAAGCCATGGTTCCTCTTTGAAGCTTGTCTTTTAGCTAGCTGGCTAACATTGGCTAACACGCTAACCTCAGCTCTTGCGACTCGGATGGTTTGGATTTATCTGTTGTGAGAGAAAAGCTTTTGCACCAAGTTATTTTATGGTTGTTGTTTCTTTCAGTGTGTGTTGTTTACTTCGCATTAGCCGTAGCTTCACACCGAGAGCGGAGTGGAGGTGGTCGTCCGCACATTGGCGGAGAAGGCCGGGGAGTCCTCCGCCCCCTCCGCCATCATATCTGGTGTCATTTGAACCTACAAGGCCTTTAAGATCAACGCAAACCGTATGCTAGTTTAGGTAGCAAACCAGCTATCCCGTCTCTGGTTTGCTATACAAATAGGATACGTTTGGTTGCAAATATTGTTGGAACGATAAAAGTGTCCCTCTTTATCCACAAGTCGATATGCTGTAAAGCTAATTGGCTTGAAAGACGGAACTATTTTAAAGCTAATGTAGCTCGCTGAAGCTAGCTAACGTCAACGCGAGCTATTTTGTCAATATGTTAGCCATCTTTACGACCAAACAATGAAATACTGTGAAGTTTGTTAAAGTAAAAAACTGGTATACATTGATGTGAAGCCTCAGCATAGAGTTTTAGTCTATATTTTAGCAGCTTGCCATTGTTATCCCGCCACATTTCTAAGTGCATAACAGTTGTAAATATCTAAATGCAATATAAATGTTATGTTCTGCAAGCACAGTTATTCCTGCGTCACCTTACTTCAATTTTCTCATTAAAAAGTAGACTCTTAAATATGTCCTAAAGTGCCAGTTGTGGCCTGGAGTCGAAAGTTTAGTTATATAATAGTTCTAAGTCATAAGGCGGTCTACGGATGCTTAGGCAAAATGATACATTCTTAATTGTTGCGGTAATGCATCGAGTGCTATAAATAACCCTCATTTAATGATTTCATGTTCCGTGCCTTTAACTGATAAATAAGTGTTATTTGCATGTATTTTAAGTCACGATCCACACTGAATTTCTCTAACATTACTTTAAGTATGATTACCAATATCAAATATTTCCACAGTAGCCCAAAGGAGTTTATCAAACAGTTAATGCAACCAGAGGTGAAATCCAAGGTTCCCATTTTCATCCATTTTATCTCGGTTTAAAAATTATGTTTCTATAGAATGTTACTCTTAAGTTCATACATACACAGAGGGCCAACTTCATCTTGGGCAAAATAACAAACAAACAATATAATTTAATAATTTACGGCCACACTGCAAGTTTAACCTGTCAGCTTTCAAGTTACACTTATCTGTTGTCTTAATGTGTATTTTTAATTCTTGTTAATTTTGTTATTTAATGTCCCATGAATTGCTTAGATGGTAAACTGTTAAAGAACCTACTGCAATCATGTTCTTCTTAGTGTTATCCAACTGCAAAGAGTAGTGCCACATTTGTAACAAAAGCTTGTTTTTCCACATCATACGTGTCATATATATGTCAAAGTATTTTACACTGAAGTAAAAAAGATTGCATGAGCAGCGCTTACTTTTTTTATAAACGAACTACAGACCATTAGAGGCTTTTACTGTCCGCCAGTGCCAATGACTAAGACTTGCCGTGGAGATAGGTGATCTAGAAAAAAAAATCTTCTATCAATACTTGAATAACGGTATGTCATGCCATTTACATCTAAACGTAATACCCCCGACCATGGAGTTTTGGGGGGTAAAATAATGTCAAAAGAACTTAATTTAGACCCGGGTCCCTGCAATAGACTCAAGTTCCTGATAGCATCCTAGTTCCGGACGAACTTCCTGCGGTCTGAAAAGTGATTATGTATAACAGTATAAGTAATAGAGATTTATAGTGTCACATCGTTGTACACAAAGTTATCTCATATACAGAAGTGTTTAGCTAGTTGAGTGTTCGCCTGATGGAATTGGTATAAGAGGGCAGCGCTTCAGGCTAAATGTGATAACTAACACAACCTTTATGATATTAAAAAGTAGTCAAATACATTCATAAGTATTAGTATAACTTTTGATTTACGGTAACAGCCAGGCAGGTATATCTCCTTCTGTAATACCCAGTTTTGCATCTTATAACTTGATTCAATAAAAGTGATGTTCATTACTCGTGAATCTTAAATATAACGGCAAAGAAGTTATTTAAATGTGAGGATTTTTCATGTCATAAGGACAGTATAATATATGAGCATTTACTGTTGTGACATTTTGTTGCCTTGGTTTTGGTGTAGTTTCCATGACTTGACAAACAGCTGCATACTTTTAAAATCAGCCTAAATATACTCCCTAGATTTCTGGATGGAAAATCTCCTGTGAGCAGCTAAACAAGGGGCCATGATTGAGCACTATAGCTAGCTGGTTTCAAGCATTCAGTGTCAAAATACCACAATGTTCTTCTCCCAGCTCAGTGCCGTGTGCAAATTGATAAAAACGGGCTAGTACCTTTTCAGTAACTCCAGGGCATGCTGTGAAAATAGTGTGTCTAGAAATCAAATTTCCTTTCCTATCACATTATAGGCAAGGAGCCAATCTGTGAAAGTACATCCCACCAACGGCACATTTTGTTAAGTGTGCACTTCTAACATGATCCTTTCCATCTGTTTTGTAATCATTTGATTCCCCCCCTCTCCAACTCTGCTTACTTTTCAGTGGTGCTAAGGGAGGAGGACAGGAAATAAAGGAGTCACCTGGAGGGTCTCCGTCAATCAACATTTCAGTTGGAGCGAGAGAGAAGAAGGGACGGAGGGAGAGAGAAAAGAAAAGAGGAGTGCGAGTCGTGTCTGCTCTTGGCAGCTGTTCCAGCAGCCTGTTTCAGTGTTGGGGCTGTTATTTCGTTCCTGCGTTACCTTTTTTGATGAATCAACTCATATTTTTAACTTTAATGTGAGCTATAACTGCTGTAAAAAAAGAAAACATTATTACTAGCAAGTGTGTTTTATTTTTGTTCCATTGTTCATTTCCAAGGTTTTTTTCGTTTATTTTCTTTGTTTACCTACCATTTTTTCGGCTGTGAGTAGCAGGAGATTCCACTCTCCAAACTATAGTCGAACCCCCTTCCTTATCTAGTTAGGACCTGATAACCTGGTATTCCTCAAGCACCTGCAACTGGCAGCTATTCTCTTTGTGTCTGTGTGCTTGGGGAGCTCTGTGACCACAGCTTAAGCACCACTCAGCCTTTTAGTCACCTAAGCCTAACTAAAGCCAGCCAGCTCTAGCCTGGTCCAGCACAGTCCAGCCTGCTCCGATCATCTGGACAGGGTAAGACATCTTCGCTCACTTTTACTCATTTTGACTCTACAGTTGCTACAAGAAATAAAACATGAACCTTTTTCTCCTCAGATACTCAGTTCTGTGTGGACGTGAGGAATATGACTGCTGAGACTCTTAACTTCGGCCCAGAATGGTAACCAATCTTATTTCTTTACATTAAAATAGCACTGACTAATAAACAGGGTTCTTACGGGCCTTAAAAACCTGGAAAAGTCATGGAAATTCCAGGCCCTGGAAAAGTTATGGAAAACAATATTTTTCCCAAAGTCATGGAAATGTAACTAAAGTTGCATCAAATATAATTTATATTTTATCTAATCGGCGAAATAGTAATACTAAAATGATAATAAATACTGTATTGTATAGTTGAAACGTAAAATTGCATTTAACTGTCGAGGTATTTTGCTGGTGAGAGATTTGAATTGCTTTAGCGTGTAGAAGCTAGTAAGCCTATTTGATTTGTTTTAGATACTGTAGGCACAACATGTTTCATATGCAGACCTTATTTTCCTGTTCCATGTTAAAATAAACCATTTTCAGTGGTACCGCTGAGAAAGAATCATTTTTTTGGGCATGGAAAATTAGGTAAAGCTCATGGAGAAGTCATTGAAAATCCTTGGTGAAAAAGTGTATGAACCCTGAATAAAGTAAAGTATCTCCTGAAAAGAATAAATGCTCTCATGACGATTAAACAGCTCTTTGACAACAAGATGTAATGAATGTTTAATGTGTTATGGTTGGACAGAGTGAGTGGCTGTGGAGCTTTTGACCTTATCACCCGTAATGAGCAGATATTTTACTCGGTGATGAAACTGTAGGTGTTCAAAGCAACGTAATTGTGAATATTATTCATACTTTAGTCTGTGTTGTTTAAAAGGAATCTTGATATAAAAATGGTCATGTCTTAATGTTAAATGCCACTTTTGAATGTGTCCATTAAATGCAACGGCATTACACCCACATGGAGAGATGATCTTAAATGCCAGGAGAATACTCTGCTGCATAGTTGATAACCTCGCCTTCTTTTTTTAGATGCCTTTTCATGTTCTAAATTAGGAGTCCTTTAACTTTTGCCGAGCTTCGCCGTAATTATTTTTCATGTAAAAATACAAATAATAAAAATGTGGGCTTTTGTTGGGACAAAGGGAGCGATTTGAACACCATAAAGGCTATGAACATTTTTATTTTCCACTTTTTTTTATTGCACTTCATGAAACAAGAAACCAAAAAATAGAAGGCAGATAAATTGATGATGAAAGTAGTTGATAGTTACAACTTTCACAGACTGTTTTATCATGCCATCTCTAACTGTTGGAAAGCAGTTTTCTCTTTAAATCAAAGGCCCTGTTCACTCCTGGTATTGGATCTTTTGTGATCAGCTCTGTAGAAGTAGGCAGCTCTGAGAACAGATGTGAATGTGCAGAGTGAGTGTTTGGCACATAAGAGAAAGAAAGAGGTGGATGCACCAACAGCAAAGTGATTATTTATTCAGTTAACTCGCTATCGATGGGTCCAAGTGACGCAGCCTATTTTCAAGAGAGCTGTCCACTTGTGATTGGATAACAAAAGCACATGTTTGGTCTGAAGAGGGCCAATATAGGAAGTGTTGTCCTTTCCATCTCTGATTCTCCACCTCATCCTTCAGTGGACGCTTGTGTTGTGCTTAAGAGGGGGTGTAGTCTTCAGTTTGGTAGCACTCAATATCTAAAAGCCTGTGACTGCTGTGTGCATTCTTGACTCTGAATATTTCTCTCTTTACACGTCTGCAGCTGCTTTCCTCTCAGTGGCCTTTCTAGCCCTACTTTTATACTCGCACCTCTTGAATAAATCTAAGCAGTGGCTGATGTATGTGCTCACCGCCAGCTGTGTGGCTGCATGTTTACAAGTCCTTTAATGCCTGTTAGTGTTTCAAAATGATTTAGAACATTTGAGGTTTGGCTGGCCGAAGAGCTGTCGAGCGTGTTGGGCATTGTGGTAGACTTCAAAGTGAAAACATTCTGCCTTGCATTTAGATTGATGTTTGTTTGTAGCCTTTATTTAACCAGGTGATGTAACCGTTGTTGGACTGACCTTTGCTCTATAAGACTCAAAGAGGATTATGAACGTATAGATATGAAACATGGAAGACCTTTAAGATTTCTTTCTCCGTCCTGTTTGAAGTATTGCTTAGTGTATCACTGGAATGTTTCCTTAGCTCACCATTTTATTATTCATATTAGTAAACACCATTTTGACCCTGAAATGCCACATGCTGCCAACTTGCCTTTCATGATGCCTTCCTTTTACCTCTTGCATCCCACACCTCCCAGAGTTCCATGTGGTTTTGATGCGGAGTCAATGACACGTTCTGTAGAAGCGTGTGAATGGAGCCATTGTTGAACAGCAGGCCTTGGAACCTGGCCCGCTAGTAATAGCTTTTAAAATGAAAATTTGAGATTGGAAAAGCTAATATATCATCTGCGTTGAGCCAAGTGTATTCAGAGGGACCCGCGTGAGAGGATGGTTGGCTTGCGAAGCATTTAGTGAAATATTTTTAGATATTTTTCTTCAGTACAGATTAAAAGGAATTATATCCCACTTGCACAATAGCTGCAATTTTTCTCTGCCAACAGTGGACTTTATGCCAAGTTATTTACAAGTGATTTTCCTACATTGTATGTCGGCTCCAGTCAGTAGGCAGGAACAATAACAAATGCTAATATGTAGCTTTAAAGTTCAGTTAGTAATTTCCTGTTGAAACACTGACACTGAAATACTGTTTAAAAGCATACATGTTAAAAAGTCTTACATTTAAATTGCAACACTGAGAAGTCTTGATGGTCTGTTGAACATTCAGACAAAGATAATTGATGTTAAAAATACATTATCCTAATTCCTCATGATTCCTGTACCTTTTCTCACGCAGGCTCCGTGCACTGTCCAGTGGGGGGAGTGTGACGTCCCCCCCTCCTTCCCCCGCCATGCCAAAGTACAAGCTGGCCGAGTATCGCTACGGCCGAGAGGAGATGTTAGCACTTTATATCAAAGACAACAAGGTGAGTGGGAGAAGTTTCTCTGTTGGAATCACTGAAGAAGACGTTTAGTAATGTTGTCAAAGTTAATGGTGCTAAAACACAAGCGTGATTTTCTCTTTTAAATCCCATTTCTCTAGCTTCAAAAAACCAAACCTGTATCAGACAGTTGTTTTTTCTAAGTCAGGCCAAAAGTTTTGAAAGATAGTAATGTCATCCTCCGTGCCTATGGTTGTTGTTGCAGGTCCCAGAGGACATGCAGGATAAGGAGTTTGCTGCTATTCTGCAAGATGAGCCCATGCAGCCACTGGCACTGGTGCCTCTCACTGAGGAGGAGCAGGTCTGCAATTAACACATATCCTCAAATACACTGATACCTGCACATGTCAAACTGTTCCAGCTTTTCATGTGATATCTCATCGCGATATGATCTGAGTTTTCAAAGCGAGCGGTGCTGTTGGTTTTCAAATGCAGCTGCAAACTCGCATTCCTCACATTCTTGCCTTTTGCTCTTTCCATTCTCTCTCTCTGCAGAGGAACTTCTCCATGTCTGTGAACAGTGTGGCGGTGCTAAGGCTCATGGGAAAAGGGGTGGGCGCCACAGCCCCAGCTGGAGTGGTCCGAGGACGAGGGGCCGCGCGAGGTGGTCGAGGTAACGGCAAACAAAACTCCCAGACACCCATTAGAAGAGAGAGCAACAAATAAAGTAGAGCATTGGTTCAGCCTAAGTGCATGCATACAGACTCCACAACCACTTGTGCTTAAACTAACACAGGTCCAACAGAAACAAAAACGCTGCCCAAAAAAAGCTTGGCCGGAACTACAATGGCTGTTCTCCGGAGAAAGTAAAACCGTTTATTCAAGCCAACCACTGGAGTGTTTATTTCCCTTGTTTCTTCCACCATCTTGGTGCAGCACACTTCCTCTTGGCCTGTCTAAATAGTCCTCCTTTTGTCCAGCCACACCTGTCTAAAACCACTTGGCTTACAAACTCACCTTGTGCACACAGCACTCTGCACATATGAATGGCCAATGTAAACACTTAACATCCGGTTCTGGGGCCTCATTTATAAATGGATATACGCTAAAAAAAATGGCGTACGCCAGTTTCTACGCAATGTTTGCGATTTATAAAATACTAACTTGACGGGAAAACATGCGGTCCTCCACGCAAACTCTAACCCATGCGTACGCACTAAGCACAAACACGGGAGAGACGAGAAACTGCGACACCGTTGGCAGAAGGAAGAATGGAGAGAAATATGTGGAAATAATACCATCAATAAAATGCTACCTCTCATTTATCATATAAGAAGAATTCATTTTCAAACATTGATTAAAGCCAATCTTAAAATGATTAAACAAACGCCTGTTTGAGACTCCTCAGTGCACACAAAAACATAACTTGGAGAAATAAATAAATACGGATATGTTATTGAAAACCACCTCGAATATGTTGTGTTAATGTTATGAAATGTTTTCTCATAAATGATGCGGTTTTGCATTTCTATAGGTTGTACGAGCATGGTTTATACCAGTGGCACACCAAAGGACAAGTAAAAATCTCAAGGCACACCTATTGTGCAAAATAGCCCTTATAACACGTGTTATCACTCATATCATGTAAAATATCTGTAAATGTGCATAATTATTTACTAATGCCAAATAAAATGTGACAAAGACAACTATATTATTCATGAAATATTTATTAACGAAATATTTCAGAAATTAATTTGAAACTTTATCAAATTAGGCTTCATCAAAGCAGCAACACACTCATTTAAACCAGACAGGTCACAACATTAAAAATGAGGCAAAGGAAACTCAGCAGAAATTCAGCACAGAGAACTGTCAATGCAAGGAAGCTGCATTGTCCATGGTCCTGAACTACAAATTATATAAATGTAACATTTCAGCAATCAGCATTGAAACATGTGCTATTGTAAATATTTTGCCGACTTACAAATTAGTGAGATACATGTGCCTGTCGGGGCGCGCATATTTTTTTAATCCTTGGTGGCACTGAGGAGAGGGCCACTCGCAAGTCCTGTTCAACAGAGAGCCGTGACCTCCTGATGTTCTTCATGTAAATCAGAGTAGAGAACGCCAACTCCAGAGATGGGGTCGTTACTAAAAAAATGTAATATATTACATATTACTTTTTTAAAAAAAAGCAATATATTACACTACTTCGTTACTATCTACATAAAGTAACTCGTTACTTTACTCGCCGAGCACGTACGAACTGCGCATGCGTGAGTGGCAATAACTTTCCTTACCAGCAGGCGGCGGTAGTGTGTATTTGTCATTCAAAACAGGCAACAACCGGAAGACAGAGAAGAAGAACAGACAACGTGATATAAACAAACAACAAATAGCTGTGCGGTAGCTTCACCTTAGCATGTGTTCTTTGCAGGTGTTTGTTGAGGATTGACCACGTGGTGTTTCCAGCAGTGGATAACAGCTTCTGGCCTGGACACAGTTTGCACCTCACCGTCACATTCCTGTCTATTCTTCGGACCAACTCAAAATAATGGGCAGACCTCCACCCCTCGAAAGTTATCGCTGACTAAGCCATGTTTATGCAGCACTGCACGTGGAGATGTGGACGCGCAAGTCGCGCAGATTACGTACATATAAACCTACAAAGTATGATATAGTAAATTAAAAAATAATTATTTGTTGTGTAGTTGTATATTGCAATAATAACGTATGGTTGTCACAAAATCCCACGGCACACCCAGACTTGCCTCACGGCACACCAGTGTGCCGCGGCACACCGTTTGGGAACCACTGGTATATACTACCACGTTTAATCGTGTTTTATGCCGTTTGCCAAGACTTGATAAGTGGCTCGTAAAACACAGGAGGTATGGAAACTAAGAACACCATATGTGGTAAATTGTACAGCTGATATAACACAACACATTAGTTGTATTTCCTTTAACTGGTGGATATAGAGTTGCTGCAGTGGAGACGCTGCGCACAGCTGATCGACAGCTGGAACACAAACCACCAAATACGAAAACATAATTCAGATCCAGTCGTCATGACTCCACTCCGGAGGGATTCTCCGTTCTCTTCTTACAGTTTCTCATCAAGGGGGGTCTCCTGTCCCCGGTACAAACGCACTGCCTGAGGAAGGCTATGTGTATTGTTTTTGTCATTAACCTTTTTCGGGCCATTTATTTATTTATTTTGGTGACGATCCGACCTCCATGCTGCTACTCTGGTTCAAACTGCATCCACCAAACAATATGATTTATCTCCACCTCCCCAAAATAACCCAAATCTGACACGGTGTGAGATGTCTTTTTTAGCTGTTCTGTCGTCATTTCCTGCGATCTTCTTCATAAAGTCAGTCAGAATGAATGAATGGGCGTTTCTTTGACTATTTATAGGCAAATATGGGCGTTACGTGAAGCCCGCAAAAGCTGCACCGCATTTCGAGTCGGTTGTGATTTATAAAGGGAAACCGGCGTAGGACGTGCCGTACGCACTTTCCTCGCCGGTACGCAATGTTTGGTGAATCGGAAAATGTCGGGAAATTTCTGTACCTATTTTTGGGATTTCTACTACGTAAGCAACCTTCCCAAGTGAATCCTACGCACGGCGTTATAAATGAGGCCCCAGGACAGCTAAGGAAACAACTTGGAAGAAGAATGCTGTGCCGGTTTCATGGTTTGTCTGCAGCTCTTAAAGAAGATATAAGCTAATCATATATCAGTCAAATGAATTATAAAAGTGTTAAAAATAAGATATATGAGGTTTATTTAACAGACAAAGACAATCTCAAGCTCTTTCATTCAGATGATGATGATATTAAATACAAACACCTTCTGCTCCGTGTGTATTTTATCAGGACGAGGTCGCGGTGAAGGTGGATTTTACCAAAGAAGTATTGAAGAACCGGAGGTGGGTTTTGGACGCGGCGTCCGAGAGATTCATCGCAGCCAGAGCTGGGATGACCGGTAAGAAAAACTCACTAATTGAAGGTCAAATAAATCATGGATTAAATAGCGTAGTGCCAATATAAAGACTTTTTTTTTTTTTTTCTTGAGAGAAGACGTAATAAAGTGTAATAAACTAGAAGGAAATGTCAAATCCGCTCTGATATTTGTATTACAATTGTTCTCATGTTGCGTAATTGACCTAGGTATCTTCTTTTTTCTGGATAGGCTGAACTACAATATGTTCGTTACTTTGGACTCATTTTTCCTATTTTTTTTAATCACTTATTTCTCAAATGTTCCCTTCTTTTCTCAGGGCTGAGCGTAGATTTGAGAAGCCGATCCGGCGGGAGGTCGGGCGTCCCGGCTTTGAAGAGCCTGTAGTGCCTGTGGTTCCAGGACGGAAGGATTTCACAAGGGCTGACAGCGATAACTGGCGCATCCTCCGGGAGGAGCAGCAGGAGGAGGAGGAGGCGGCGGCGGCAGGGGGGGGGGTGGTGGTGGTGGAGCCGGGAACCAACTGGAGACTTACAGGAGTCCGCAGGGATGGTAGGATAAAGACAAACATGCTTTTATTCATTGTCCCGCCGCCGTAAACTCGTTTGTGTTAAAAAAAAAATGAAAGCAGGATACACAGGAGAAACACCTCATCAGTCATTTTCTTTTTAGAATGCATGACATGCATTCCACAGAACTTCTGTTTGATTGTATTCATACATGGCCACTTAGTGTCGAACACCTTATCAGATGTGGTGGTAAACAGGCCTGTGGCTTTAAGAAATGAAATGTGTAGAAATGGCTTTTTAAATCCGTGTAATCACAACCTTTGGTTCTCACTTGCATTAGGATTGCCTAAAATACAACATGCATGCTGAGGGCTCATACCATTTTAAATATTCAAATGGCCTAAGTAGAAGATCATCAATTCTACTAGTTCTTACTCCAGGCTATCAAAGCTCAGTTGTGATGATGTGTTCAGCTGAAACAGTAGATATAGTGACATCTAGTGGCAGTGAAGGGATTTCTACCAGACAAAGTGGAGTGTTGCTAAAAGGGAGCTGCACTTTAAGACAACCGCCGTTTTGGAGGTTATGAGACCCTATCCTCACTGATGGCTGTCCATTTCTCTGTCAGATGGGGGTCCTCGCTCAGCAGGCTGGCGGGAACACACCGGTCCCGGCGAGGGTCGTCGTCGGAAGTTTGATTTCGATTTCAGGGATGCCGATGGCCATGGTGGTGGCCGCCGGCGTGAGGGACTGGACGACGGAGACGGCCTGCCTGAGTGGTGCACAGACGAGGAAGACGGGGAGATGGGCACGTTTGACTCCTCTGGAGCTTTCATGGCTTTGAAGGTGTGTACCTTTAATTATTCTTAAGAACGTTCTCTTCAAACAAAGTCAAGTTTTTTGTTTTGTTTTATGATATTTATTTATTTTACTGTCAGCTCTCATTGAATGTCAATGAGGTACACTCTTTAATTGTCTCTTCCTTTGTGTCAGAAGGGTGACAAGGACATAATCCTGGAGGAGGAGTTTGATTTTAAGGGGATAGAGGACGAGGAAGACGAGGAGTTCTACGCTGACATGGAGAGGAACAGTGCTGAAGAAGACAAGGGTGAGGAAAAACGATGATTTTATAATGTTTTTGGAATCGTTCCCTTGCCAGCTTCATTATTGCATTGTTCAGTGAAAAATGATTTGTTCATAAGGCTTTTCCTATTCGTTCAGAAGCCCAGGAGGAATTCATAACTGATGATTGTGGCTTCTTACTTAATGCTTTCCTTTCTTTCTTTCCTCCGCTCTCCCCTTACAGAGAGTAAAGAAGCTGGCTCTGCTGTAAGGGACGGCGAGACAAAGCCAGCTTCACCCTCATCCTCTCCTCCTGCACTGCAACACTGTACCCCCCCCCTCTGTGGAGCATCGGCCCAGCAACGCAGGCCTGTTGGTGGACAATGCTCAGCTGAACAACAGCCACCCTGTCAAAGCCAGCAGCGCGCCCAGTGAAGGTACCCCCTATTTCACGTCAGAAGCAACAGACCGATGGATTCAGTTAGCAGCTCTCTTAGGTACCTATTATTTTCTAATTATGAAGGCAATTCATGTTTTGTCCAAAAATATATGTAAATTGATATGTATTGCAGTTAAACCATGTGAATTATGAATGTGAAGTTGGACAAGAACATGTGGAGAAAAAGTTTGTTAGTGTGATATGAAATGTACTAATGGTATCAAATCTAAAGAAAGTAGGAAATGAATTATGGAACAAGGTCAAAGTTAGTATGAATATCTAGTATGGATCTTTTGACTTTATTATCAGATTCTTCCTGCTTTTTATTGAGCAATGAGTTTGAATACCGAGGCAAACTTAAGTCATCAGTGTTTGTCACATTCAAACTTGTATCTTGAATAACAAAATTGAAGCGTTAAGGGTCTAACCCTGTAACTGTAGAGCTTTTGGCTTCTTGGATTCAGCCAAGCTCTTAGTCATGCACCGTAAGTGTGTGGAACTATTGCCGCGTTGATATTTTGAGTTTGATATACAATATATGAGGTCATTTAATATCTTGTTGACTAAACCCGCTGCTGCTGCTGTCTCACACAGAGCCAGTTGGTGGCTCTACCCGTCTCAATCCAACATCACCACCTCATATATAGAGCTATATAGAGCCCATTGTTTTACTAATGTTTGTGTTTTTTGTATCAGACATGGCTCCTGTAGGGGTCTCTAAGAGCCAGCTGAGCCCCAGCGCCCCCCCTTCCTCCCGCATGCCTCCTCCACCTCCTTCCTCTGCTGCTCCTCTCCACCCTCCACCTGGAGGGGACACAGAGGACGATGAGGGCATGAAGCACCTGCAGCAGGTAGGAACAACAGGAGGCACATTTCATGCAGCTGTGAAACAGAAAGCACTTGTAGCTCCATTTCATCTAAACCAAAACAACACTGGACTGAAAGAAATCAAGAACACATCAAATACTTTAAAGCCACATTTAAAACGAAGAGATCTTGAATAGGCACTTAAAAGTATTGATATTCTCTCAATGAACACTTAATGGTAATAACATGTTTGTGTGAATGCAGCTGTCTCAATTGTTACAGGAATTACATTTCAATCATTTAACCAGGGATTCTTTTTCCAAAAAGTAATCAATCTCCATCTAAACCAAAACCTACTTGTAAGTCAAATCAGATCAATTATTTATAAAGCATGTTTCATACATAAGTGCTTCACTAACCCAACAACATTATTTTCAAACTCAGGACTGAAAAACACATAAATACAATACATTTAAAAGGAGAGTCTTGGGTTTGCTCTTAAGAGCATTGACATTCTCTGTGTGAACATTTTGATGTGTAATAACGTGCTGTGTGTAGGAGGCAGAGAAGATGGTGGCGTCACTGCAGGACACTTCTCTGGAGGAGGAGTGCTTCACCCAGGCTCTGCAGCAGCAGCAGGAGTGCAGGAACACAGCCGCCGCTCTGCCGCTGTCACACGAGGCCGCCATGAAGTGGTTCTACAAGGACCCACAGGGAGAGATCCAGGGTACCCTCCCACACCCTTTATACCTATTATATTATGTACCGATCGTTATCGGCCGATCACTTTAAATGGAAGATCCCACAGCCCCCACCCACCCTATGATCGGTATCGGCCGATACTGATTCTGGCGATTGGCCCCAAAAACCCTGATCGGAGCATCCCTACTTATTATTATTATTATACTACTTACTCGTACATGCAAGGATAACACATGAATTCATGAATAAAAGCTATGCTATTGTATTGTAAACTCATTCATCTCAATCTAACCAGGTCCCTTCACCACGGTGGAGATGTGCGAGTGGTTCCAGGCCGGCTACTTCACCATGACCCTGCTGGTGAAGCGTGGCTGCGACGAGGGCTTCCAACCCCTGGGAGATGTCATCAAAATGTGGGGCCGGGTGCCCTTCGCCCCAGGGCCCTCCCCTCCGCCCCTGCTGGTGAGACAGCCACCACCGACGCAGCGCCCGCAGCCCACCCGGGGGTCCGCCGGGACTGTGAGTCAGAGCTCTGCCAACGTAGAGGATGGGGAGGGGAGGATGCAGAGGAGAGGGAAGCTTGATAGACAGGTTACGGTAAAAAACAACTATTTATTCAAATTCAATTCAAACGTGAGATTTCTGAAATTGCCCCCATGCTTGATTTGAAGACATGTCATTTAATTTGTGTTCCTGCTAATGAATGAATGACCTTGTTGAGGAAGTGGTATTCAAACAACAGTCTTAAGACGATATAATGTGGCCCCCTGTGCATGGAAGCTTCAAGTGGAGCAGAACAGGGCAGGTTCCATTGAATGCTGTAATGTAACGCTACATTGTCACAGGCCCCTGATTACCTATACGTGTGGCAGCTGTCTGCATCGTTGGGGGAATGCACACTTAATGTTTGTTCCTTTTGTAACTTAGAAGTCTTTGGTAACAAATAATTGGCAATTCCCCCCCAAGTAGTTCTTGCTTAGCTATCGCACATTTTGCATTAGATAGCTGTTGTGGTGTATAGAGTTAGAATATACATGTTATTGACTGGTGATCGCTGTTTCTTTCAGGGGAACCTGGACCAGGACCGCCTGAAAAAGCAACAGGAGCTGGCGGCAGCAACAGCTCTCTATCAGCAGCTCCAACAGCAGCAGCTATTTCAGCTCATTAATAGGTAGGTTAATACATGGTTGGAACTATTCCTTTACATGTCTGAGCCTTATTTTGTGTTTGTGCCATAGTTTCTTTCCTTTTACAGAGGGGATTTAGACTTTTGGACTTTCCGTGTTTGATTTAGCTTCTTTTGTCCAAGGTGCAGTGAGCAGGGTATGATGCCTTCGATGAACAGGTCGATGTCAGTGCCAGATACAGGGTCCATGTGGGACATGCATACCTCAGCTTCACAGCCGTCAGGTACGCTTTGGACTGGCTTTGAATGTCCACAAAGCAACAACTCGTCTTTACCTCATTGAGCTTAAATAACCCGCTTTGTTTCCATGTAGGCGGTGAAGCCAGTCTTTGGGACATAACAATGAATCCTTCTACTCAGGGTCCAACTCTCGAACAGCTTCAAAAGGTGGCTTCAGTTGTAAGATTTCCATTTAATCTACATTTAGATTTCAATGTTTTCATACATCTTTTATGCGATCAGTCATTTTTACTCTATCTTATTGTCAACAGCGAAAAGCTTAGATTTGAACTGCTAGCTAGAGAAATTGTAAGCAATGCTAGCAGGCACAATAACTGTAAACACAAGGATTGTCTCTGATGCAATATTTATTTAGCTTAGCTTCTTAGTTAATGCATTTGACATCGTTTGACTCCTGATGCGTTCCCTTCAGCTCCAGCAGGAGAGGAGAGACGCTGAACTCAGGGCGAAGCGTGAAGAGGAGGAGCAGCGTAAGAGGAGGGAGGAGAAGAGGAGGCTTCAGGAGGAGCAGAAGAGGAGGGAGGAAGAGGAGCTCTTCAGACGCAAGCAGGTGAGTTGCAGGATCTGATTTGCTGTATTTTCATTCTTTCCATGATGCAAGCTAGGCTCATTAAAGCTGGCATTTGATTTCACAAGTCAGACGTCCAAATAGTGCGCCACTGATGATGCAGTCTGAGGGTAACATGCAATGAGAATGGCTTTTCATTTCAAACCTCCGTTCTCTCTCCCTGCAGTGTCGTCAGCAGCAGGAGCTGATCATGAAGTTGCTGCAGCATTCCCCCCAGCAGCAGGGTCCTGGGGCAGGCAGCTCAGGCTGGAGCGGGGCCCCCTCCTCAGGGCTCTCCAAGGCAGGAAAGCCCCCTGCTCTGGCTCTGCTGGAGATGCAGCAGGAGGCAGAGAGGCTCCTGAAGCAGCAGCAGCAGCAGCAGAGAGCCCAGCAGCAGAGAGAGCGCGTGAGTTTGAAGTGAACTGTTTCAGACGGTCAGAGAGAGAATGCCGATAGAAGATTGTTCTAAATGATGTCTCTGTCTGTTTCCAGCTCTCTGGCATGTCGATGGGGAGCTCCTCCATGGGCGGGCAGTGGGCGGATGGTGTTGGCATGTGGGGCGGGCCTGGAGGGATGGAGGGCAAGAGCAGCAGTGGAAGCTCTTCAGGCAGCATGGGCATGTGGGACGAGGCTGTGAAGAACCAAGCCAGCCTGCGTGGCAACAGCAACAACAACATGGGCCTGAAGAACAGCCGCAGCAGCCCCTCACTCAGGTACAGGAAGCCAAAAAGGAATATTTCAAATCCTCACTTTATTTTTTGTTCACCTTCAGTGGCATATGGCATTCTAATATTAAAGTTATAGGTGTCCATGTTTCAGTTATGGTTGTGTGTCCTCTGCAGTGATCAGTTCATGATGCGTAGGAAGCGGACTGAGGACGAGGACAAGCTGCTGAAGCTGCTGCAGGGCATGAAGCCTCAGGACGGCTTCACTACCTGGTGTGAACAGATGCTGCACGCTCTCAACACCTCTGCCAACAACTCCTCCTCCCCACTGGATGGTAGGCCGAGTTATGAAGGTAGCTAGGTCGAGGTTAATAAAACTTCCCCCGGAACTTAGTTCAAAAAATGTTTTGGCTTTATTTATTTTGATCTCAAAAAGTTCCTAGAATTTCTAATCATTTCAACTTTATATCTTTATTAAGTTGCCACAATTGTGGCCTACCTGAAGGAGATGGAGTCTCCCTATGCAGTGCTGGAGTTCATCCGGTCCTACCTAGGGGACACAGTGGAAGCCAAAGAGTTCGCCAAACAGTTCCTGGAGCGACGTGCCAAACAGAAAGCCAACCAACAGAGACAGCAGCAGCAGGTAGGCCTGAGCTACAAATGAGAACAGCATACTACAAAACAAACTGTGATTCGCTGCCCAAGCAAAGAGAAACAGGACCAGGCACCCAGTACCTTTTGGATATCTGGGAAATTGTTCTAATTATACTCAGTATTAATAAGGAGAAAAGAAAATAGCTTATCCATAATTGTGAATGTTTGTCTTTTAAAGGTCAGGCTTCTAAAACACCATGATGTATGTGTTGGAATATAATGAACAGGGTTCGTACGGTCATTGAAAACCTGGAAAAGTCATGGAAATTCAAAATGCAAATTCCAGGCCCTGGAAAAGTTATGGAAAACAATATTTTCCCCAAAGTTTTGGAAAAGTCATGGAAATGTAACTAAAGTTGCGTCAAATATAATTTACATTTGATCTAATCGCCGAAATAATCTGCGGTCGCGAGCTGCTATGTGCCATCATGACGCGCATGGTGTTATTTTTTAATATACGAAGCGCGAGCTGTGTGCTCGAGTCTTCCTGCCTGTCGGCTGAACTCTGCTGCTCCGGGATGAGGGTCAGCTACATTATCTACGGTGCGTTCGGAGTCACTGTGGCACAGACTGAGCCGCTGTTAGAACAGCTGTTAGAACGGGCCGTTCAGGTGTTCAGAGCAGAGCGGCAGAGCGTGATGTGAACTGGAACGTTTTTCTGTCGCAATATCATTTAAGGAATCGTTGAGCTAGCTAGTTAGCATACATTGTCACTATCTGTTAACGTTAGCTTTAGCCTTCGTTTTCTAATAGTTTTTTTCATAGGCTATAAACAGAGGTGGTATAAGTATAGATATTGTGCTAGAGTAAAAGTAGAAGTACTCAGATCTTGTACTTGAGTAAAAATAGAAGTACTCAGATCTTGTACTTTAGTAAAAGTAGAAGTACTCAGATCTTGTACTTGAGTAAAAATAGAAGTACTCAGATCTTGTACTTTAGTAAAAGTAGAAGTACTCAGATCTTGTACTTGAGTAAAAATAGAAGTACTCAGATCTTGTACTTTAGTAAAAGTAGAAGTACTCAGATCTTGTACTTGAGTAAAAGTAGAAGTACCAGAGTGTAGGAATACTCTATCACAGTAAAAGTCCTGCATTCAAAATGTTCCTCAAGTAAAAGTAGAAAAGTATTCTCATCAAAATATAGTGATAGTAGCGACAGTAAAAGTAGTCGTTGTGCAGATTGGTCCATTTCAGAATAATATATATGATATGTTTTATAATGATTGATCCAGGGCTGCCAACACTCACGCATTGAGCGTGAGAGTCACGCAATTAACCCATATCTCACGCACTCACGCCACACGTGCCTTTCCTCACGCTAAGTTTTCATCCAAAATAAATGTATATAAATATAAAAATAAAGTGAAGGAACAGCAAACCGAGCGGTCTACGAAATGAGACGGTCTTCTGGCTTAGTTCAGTAAAGTTGGAACGATATTGGGAGATTCTGATTTCACGGATCAATAACTCATGAACAAAACGTTATTCAGACACAAATGACGTCTCCTAAGTAGCGTGGTAAGGAGGACAACAAACTACAATCACATTTTGATCAAAAAAAGCCAATAGGCGCCGTCCTCTGAGCTGGACACATTACATTGGTCTCTACCTGCAGCCGGAGAAGAAACGAGTGCTCAGGGACCGTCTGCAAAGTGCAACTCCGAGAAAAGAGAATACAATAATATTCAATCACTATTATACATCTTATTACTACCAAACTCACTACACACATCAATAGTCTCCTGGTGGTCAGACTACAGCAAGGAGTTTGGAAGAATATGCTTTTGAATAATTCGGGGGAATATTTATAGGCTAATGTAAAATCTTCAATAAATATGGCATCATCTTAAATAACTACTATTATACAGTATATTTCTACCAAATTCACTATTTGCATTGTTGTTGTTGTTAGCATCTGGTTAGCTTGCTGCGCTAACGGATATTAGAAGCTGTTTCTAAAACAAGGAGAGTAGAGCTCTCTGCTGTCAGACTGAGCGATAACTACAGATCAGTGAGGTAAGGGACTCTCTGAGTGTTTAGTTAACTTTAGTCTAGTTATCTCAGTGGGTCTCAAACGGTTTGGTCACCATTTATGAGAATAAATGAAAAACAGGTATGAAATACTATATGACAGTAAAACAAGAATACAGTTTAAAAGGTGAGTGATTTGTAAAATATCCATAAAGAAAAAGAAAATCTGTTTACAGTTCTGTTTCATACGGGTGTTGAGAGATGTATCCATAAATTCATTTTGCTCTCAAAATGAATCATGAACGTTTCTTTTTTCGGTTCACCAAAAAACAAATCTCACTCTAAGCTGAACTCAAATGTTGGCAGCCCTGTTGATCATGAAAGTGTTCTCAAAGCTGGTAAAGGTGCAGCTAGTTTGAATGACTTTGTATACTGCAGGGTAGCTTGTGGATTTACTCCAGGTGGAACTAAAGTCTGATTTAACACTTGATTAGATTTCACATCATTCATCCACATCTGTAAAGTAACTAAAGGTATTAATACATGTAGTGGAGTCAAAGTACACCATGTACCTCTGAACTGTAGAGGAGAAGAAGAACAAAGTAGCAAAACATTGAAATACTTAAATAAAGTACAAGTATCTCAACATTGTACCCAAGTATAGTACTTGAGTTTATGAATTTAGTTACTTTACACCAGATGCCATAAAGATAGAAAGACTAAGCCTTGCACAGAGGCATGACAATACATTTTCAAAATGCTCAACAGTGCTGCCAAAATGATAAACTGACTGCTACACAATTAAAATAAATGCTTTTATATATTTCTATTAGATGTGACTCTTTAGCGTTTCTGTTATTATTACCTGCTGCTTTAGTTCTTCTGACTGCTAACATCCTGTTATTCCTCATTTTAAAGCCGATATTCCGTGGGGTGGGGGGGGGGGCTCGGATCATTGTCACCTTTTTCGTACCTGATGAGTTTGCCTCCCTGACTGCAGTTGCTTCAGCGTGTAGAAGCTAGTAAGCCTACTATTTGATTTGTTTTAGATAGGCACAACATGTTTCATATGCAGACCTTATTTTCCTGTTCCATGTTCAAATAAAACATTTTCAGTGGTACATTTTTTTTGGTCATGGAAAATGAGGTAAAGGTCATTGAGAAGTCATGGAAAGTCATTGAAAATCATTGGTGAAAAAGTGCATGAACCCTGAATGAAAAGGCAACATCAAATGAACTGGCTCAAAGTGTGCTTTTGAAGTTGTAAATCCCTCCTTTCTCTTGATGTGTCCCAGTTATCAAAGGAAGTGGCTGGATTGAACATGAACTTCCCTCTGCAGGTCAGAACAGCGTTTTTTTTGTAAACAATAACGCACTAGCAGTTACTAAAGGCTATAACAAGAAAGGGCTTTACATTTGTAAAAGTTGATTTTAAAAAAAGATATCACTTCTTTGGGCTTTTGAGGCACACATTGATTTGTATTTCCCTTTTTCTTAGGACTCAATGCGAGGAATGAATCCAAGCACCCTGCAGTCCATGTTTCAACCCAACCACATGGGCAAGTCTGGTCTCTATGAAAACCAGGGAGGGAAGATGAAGAAGAAACAGCCCATGATGCTGCACCCTGACCCCAGCATCTTAGGTACGTGACCTCAACACCATTTTATATTTCTTTGTCTTCATTCATCTGTAAATGCTCAGAATCTATTATTAGCTAGCTCTAAATAGCTTGACCCCAGATTAGCATTATGATTATTCAAAACACAGCCAGTCAGCAACAGGTGTACATCAAGAGTTAACACACAAACAAGCCAACATGGAAACTGTTTTCATCATCTGGATTCAAAAGGAGTCTCACAAAGGCAAAACACAAGAAGGAAGACAGCTTTCTGAAGCACCAGCGGAAAGTAATAGTCTTCTTGGAGACGTGTTTGCACCAGGTGGTGTGTAGGATGGGCTCCTAGGGTAGGCTGGTGTCTGAAGTTATTTATGAACCCGTGAGCGGTTTGGAGTGGAAACCCAGGGATGGGATTTGTCTCGTAATTTGAAATACATGTAAACAGGTGGCCTCGCTTTTATTGAGAATATTAAGATATTCCTATGCAACTCAAATCCAAACGCTTCCGTCATTCAGTAAAGAAAAACGTAATCACTGAGGACCCTCTTTACTGCTGCTCTCACCTTCATCAGGCACTCGCTCTAGAGTACCTCTGTACAAAAAGAGAACTTACAAAAACTCTTTCATTCCCACTCCATTATCTATTTTAAACAAGGCCTAACAGTCTTTCACAACTTTGAAATGCATGTGACCTGAAACATGTGACCTGCTCTCAATGACTTGTTATAGTGTCCCTTTTTATTCAAGTCTTTCATTGGGCTGTGTTTTGAATACTGTTTTCAATCATTATATGCGGATTATAACATTTTTGGAATCTTTTAATATGATTACATTTCATTTACAGTTCACTCACTTTCAGCTATGCATGTTAACTCCTCGGCTTAATGGCCTCTAGCTTATCTCTACATGTGATTCATATCCATACAGAAACACACTAAATGTAATACATATGTGTCAATGTTTTTTTCTTCTGAAATTGACCAACAGAAGGCTCTTCCTATCAAACTGTCTGCATCTTTATCCCCGTTAGCTCTTCTCAGCCCCTCCCCCTCTGATCTTACTCTCACTCTCTGCCCCTCCCCCTGCAGGGTACTCATTCCACAACGCGAGCGAGTGTCTGAGCCTGAATGAGATGGAGATGGTGGAGGATTACTGATGTGACGCAGCGCAGCAGCAATAGCTACCTGAGGCCTTCTGTCTTTTAATCAGACAAACCTGATGACGAATGTGCACTGCTGGGGGAACCGGGAGGGGGTAGGGGGGGGGGGGTGGGAAGGTGCAGGGTGGAGGCGCCTTGATCTGTGCCTCCCACTCTCTCCTTCCCTGTGGCTAGAACAAAAAGGGCTCCCTGCTGCACCAGTTGATCACTTGAGCAGGGGAGAGGGGGGTGATGTATAAAGGAAGATGGGTATCCTCTGGCACTCAAAAGATTAAGCACCTTATACTGAACTAATGCACTTTATTGAGATGGGATTTGAATATTTTTTTTTCATGTGTGTGAATGTGTGCGTGCGTGTTGGGAATTGGTGCACATACGGTGTGTGAACATACACATCTTCTGCGTGCATGTGCATCAGAACTGGAAGGGTGTGGTGAAACAGTCGGTGGGTGAATGGTCGGGCTGTTTTCAAAGTCAGGGGGACCTTTAGTTGAAACCTTTATCAGAGAGCAAATCCTTTCTCTAAAGACAAACACTGTTGATATTTCTCTTATTTAGCATTTTTTTACGTTTATATAAAAAGTAAAGCTATTGAAAAATAGATTATAAAAAAACTTGAAGATTTGCACTTGCCTAAAAAAGAAATAACAAAAACAACAAAAAAATCAAACAAATGGGGTTAGTTCTAGAAGTGAATATTTGTGTGAATGACTGAGTGTGTGATGCTTGGGTTGTGTCAGTAATATACCAGTCTGCACAATGTTTGTTTTTTTCATTCTTTTGTTGCTTACCAAGATGTATGAAACATAAGAGGCCATTTTTGTCTTTTTTGTTCAAATGGTAATTTTGTATTCTCATGTTTAGAGAGTGTGTGTTTGTGTGTGTGTGTGTGTGTGTGTGTGTGTGTGTGTGTGTGTGTGTCCCTCCTCCAAACAGGGACGTTGTGAGAGTTGAATGAGTGAGACAGAGAGAGGGCAATTGCACAACACATCCTTTCTCTCACCAGCTCTTCATCCCCATGATAGACGAAATAGAAGTGCATACATTTGTAAATGTTAGCTTTGCGCTCATCACACGATGGCACCACTAGTTTATTTCCCTTAAGCCCCTCCCCATGGGGAGCCGTCGGTAGACCTGTGAGGACTGGCAGACAGGGCGAATCATGAGGGACATTGCTGTGCGTGCATCAGAGCGAGACTTTGTATGTGTGAGTTTTCATGTTCATTTACTGTTCATAGAAATTAGTTAAGACTACAGGTACTCATTTTGAATACATGTGCTTTTTTGTATGTGTATGAATGCACATTTGTGCCTAAGAACTTGGATAGGGTGCGTGGCCATTGAGACATTAACTCTTTTTTGAGAGCGAGTGTGGTGTGTGTCAGTGCTCAGCACAGTGTATGTAAGTTTATATCGTAAATGTTTCTAGTTCAGTCTAGGGGTGATCCATCGGAAGGTTATTCCAGTCTGTTTTCCTGGGGTGTGATCACGTTGCCTTTTGTCAGCTCTCGAACTTGTGAATGAAAGGTGTCGAGATTCTGACTCTGAAAAGAAAACAACATCTTAATGTGCAAGTGCACAGAAGGGTGCATGACATGTTAGCATATTGTGTTACTTATTCGTTGTTGCAATTTGATAATGACGAGTTTCTTTTTTTAATGAAAAATATATATGAATATATATACATTATATACAAAGTTTAAAAAGTATTTGGACTAAGATAATGAGCACTTGGGGCTGCTATTTTTGTTGTGTGTTCTAATTTTTTTCCTTAAATTGTTTTTCATTTTTGTTTCATTATCGCCATGTGAAGTGTGTATTATTTCTTAAGAAAATATTGAATGTATTCCAAAAAAATGACAAGAAACCCGTGCTGATACCAGATTTTATTTTTTTTTCCTCAGAAGATTTCAAAAATGGAAACAAAATACAAAAAAGCTTCAGAGTTTAGCAAGAACTTTTTTTAATTTACAGTGGAAAAGAAGAAAAAAAAACTGGGGCTGGAAACAGTTGAACACACTGCCTCTACAATCCTGGTCGTACACATAGTGACTAAGAATGAAAAGACTCTTTCTATTCCATACTGGAGCTTTGGTTGTTTACAAACCACATGGATATCTGTGGGTGCAGTTTTGTTATTTTGTTTTATTTTTGTTCCCACATGAGACGGGTGGGGTTTGCAAGTGCGCTTCTGCCATATGGACATTGAGTTGTGTTGGGTTTTTTTTGAGGAAGAGCGGCAGGTATCGCAAGAACATGGACACGATCCTCCGACTGGACCTCTGTGTGTGGTCATGGAGAATTGATGATCCACCACGGAGGAAAGGGAGGGAAATCAAGGATGGGCTTTGTTTGTGGAGTGCAGGGCTGCAAAACCCTGGAGGGAAGAGAAGGTGATACGTGTACACCTGGTTAGTGCGCTTGTCTCCACCTCAACCCTCAGAAGCACTCACCTGCCCTCACCAACTCACCTATGCACTTTTGTTCATTCAAGCTGTGAGGTACAATTTTGGGGATGGGAGCACAATTACAACAGGAGGATTGCTAAGACTTTGACAAAGTCACTGAAAAAAAAAAATTCCCAAACTGAAATAAGAGACTCGAGAAGAACGTCTTCTCCCACCTCCTGTATATAACCATATTTTTGTATTATCTTTCGGAGAAGAAAGAAACTTTGCAAATGGATGAAGGAAAAATTCATGCGACGTTGACTATATGGAGTGAATGTTCTTCAAGAAAACCAATCTTTTTGAGTATAGTTTGAGATGGACTCGCTGTGAGTTTCCCTTAGTTTGCCAGTAACCCTGAAATAATCCGGGATGGAAGGGAAATAAAAAAAACAAGGACTAAGTTTGTAGGACTTGCTAAAGTGGCTCCGAGACTGACTGAGAGTTACTTATCAAAACGGATGCTGCCGTCTCGACAAAAACGTCCCACCAAGAGTGTTTGATCAACATACACGGTGAAGAGGCAGACGTGGGTTTGAAGGTCTTCTCCGAACCTGATGGCTGCCTCCAGAGCTGTGGAGTTACTGCAGGAGGAACAATATTTGGCAATGGTAAGATATGCTTTGATTTGATCCAGTTACTCCCGGTTAAAGTCACGTTTGAACAGTGTGGTGACGATGGGTTTTGTGCTCTTTCTTTCCATCTTCTCTCAGGAGTCTGGCTGTGCTTTATTTGCTGCCCTCTGCAAGGAGGATCTAATCTACAGCCAACCCATGAACCAGTTTACCCTAAACCTTTTGAACTTAAACCCTAAGAAACTTTTCTGTCTTGACCTCAGACTTGGCAAGCCGCTGGCATTATCAGTTGGACAGTTGCAAGATGAACAGGGTTATAGGCCGTGGATCCCATCTGTGTTGGAAGTGTGAGGATCGGGACTTGATCTCCCATGGAGGAAAAGGATGAAGAGGCACGTATTGCCCAGATGTCATCACCCCACCTCGGCCTGAAGCTCTCAGGCAGTCGCGTGGAGGTCTTCTAAGCGGCAGGACAGAAGACTCAGCTGGATTGGGTTTCGACGGACGTGGCTGGATTACATCAAAGTCACCAGGAATCCCTGCAGCTGTGGAACTGGATGAACTGAAAGAATTGTACAAAAAAAACAACAAAAAGAAACTTTGAAACATGACAAAACACAATCGAGTAGCTACACGTCACATAGATTCTAGTTGCGGACACACTACATGCACATGCTACAGCAAAAGCAACACACAGTGGCTCTCCCTGGAACCACAAACACACAACAGGGCTACACCAACATTAGATGACACACACACACAAATCATTGCTCAATATAATCGCTGAGCTTTGTAAATAATGTAAAAGTTTGTGTTTTTGATTTTTCTCTCATAGTGGTTTTGCTTTATTTCTCTGTTCAACATGCCTTAAATTGTATAGTTCAGCTCTGAATGGCTAACTGAAAATGTTCTCTAAAAGGTGAATTTAAGTTGGAAACCGCCTCCTTTAACTGTCCTCTAAAGTGGAAAGAGAGAAAGGAGCTTTCTAAACGTTTTCTGTTTGTTAACAGGACAGTGTTCTGTATTCATTTGAGACCTCTAACCACCATGAAAGAGACTGTTTTGCTACAGAAAGAGCAAGCACTCTTTGATTCATCCGATTGAGCTGGTGGTTAGCTTGTGTTGCCCTTTTGGTTTCCTTAAAGTTTAGAATTGATTTGTTCACATTTCCTGTTGGATAATTGCAAAAAGTGCAGGCTTAATAAAGGGCTGGAGTCTGTACTGTATGGAGCTGAGCTGACTGGGGGGAAACAGACGTATTATTGTGTGACATATTGTTGGATATACTGCTTTAGGCAAAACTGAACAGGTGACAGGTCTTCCAAGTAGGGGCTTTTTGGTTATTATTTGTATACACTCCGGCTGACTTTAACGTTTTGGAAGCAACTAGATACTTTTTACAGTTACGGGATGTCAAATCAGTTTTGTGAGAAGCATGATTGCATGATGTGAGTATTTGTGGGTTTTGGCGCTGAACCTTGACGTGCGTAACAATTTGTCCCAGATTGCAGCAGTTTTGTTTGTGTACCGGGGAGTGCTGCTGACTATCTGAATGCACTGAATAGATAAGAAATCGGCCAGTCAGTTGTGTGTTATCCAAAAGGAAATTCTTGTCCTGAAAATTTGGAAAGCGTCTTGTTCCATTTGTGTATATCTAATTGGATTTGAGAGATTAATGCTTTTAGACGACTAGTTGCTTTTTGTATCATTGACAACTAAACACTATGCCGTTTTTATTCCAATTGGCAACTGAGGTTACATATGTAATAAACTCGTACATCTGTTTAGCTGAGATTTTGATGGATAGCTAACTGTACTACGTTTAATGTTGTCTTTATCAGTTGCCAAAACAACAAATTAACTTTATATTATCACGTCTGTTGTTTGAGAGTGATATTTTTAAATGCTGATATTGTGTGGTATTAGTTGTTGGTTGGTCAGCCTGTCTTAATAGAGTAAAACAAAGTTATTTTACTGCACCACAGGTGCTTTTATGATTAGATAAACTGCAATATTGCTTCTTCCAAAAGCCCACGATATTTAATTACAGCCTTTGAAAAGATGATGTCACGTCCTGTCCACCTAAATTGGTATGAAACCTGGTTCAGTTTAGTTCTGGTAACTGTAAATCTAACAATATGGATACAAAAAATATATGTTAAGTTATATCCCAGTCAGCTCAGCTCCTTGAATAACAAGTCTTTGAATGTTGAGATAACAGCATAATGTGATAAACTTTTTGGAAAAGAACAATTGAAAGATGTGTAAATAGTTTGGCTTTTGTTTGTTTGAAGAACAAAAATAAATACAAAATAAATAGCATTTAGCAGTCACTGACTTTTTTTGTGTTTTGTGCGGTTTTGTGTTGGGATATGAACATCATGTTTACATGAGACAGACCATGCTGTGCTCATGAATTAGAATGAGCGCGTTGCCGTCATCAGCGTAAGTATCGCGAGAGTTTTAAACACATGGCGGCCCACAGTGTTTACAACTACTATCAATAAACCGGCGAAGACAAGTCTCGAGGAAGAAGGGCGTCGCATATTGCGTTTTATTCGCACACACCGGCGTTGGGTGAAACTCTGACGCTGTCGAGGGTGAAAGTGTTTATAACCAAATTGCAGGCAGAACCAAAGGCCGGGCAAGCCTCAACACAGGTAGGTAGCATCGGAATGCTAGCTTAGGCTACATGCTAACAAGCTAACGTGAGGTGGTTGTCGTTTCTGTTGTGGACCGAAGTCTAGAGGAACATTTTACATTCTGCCTTATTTTCAGCATCATTAAAGGCATTAAAATGCAGTAAATCATGCAAAGGGTAACACCTGTAAGACTCTTTGAAGTAACTCATACCTCCAAAGCGCGAATTTAGCCAAATTAACATTAATGCTAGTTTGGAGTGGCGTGTCCTTCCACAGGTGTTTGCACGAGCGGGTTTGAGTCAATTACTCATTCCTTTAACAAGAACGATTCATTCACCTCGGTTAATGTGTCTATGATTTTGAAAGTGCACATATATTCTTGAATTACGGTAACACTTGTATTCCATTGTCTTGATTGACTTAACTGGCCTCACCTTTCTTTACTTCATATGTTACCCTCGTCACTGTGTTCTAGGCTAGCGGGTGCTGTGATGTCCTCGACCCCCAGCAGACTCAAACACCGATACTGCAAGAAGAAGCACTATCCCAGTAGCACTCACCTAACTCACGTCTGACAGCCAAACAAAGGACACAAGGCAATTGGACGCCAGGTACAGGACTTGACAGGAGAAAAAGATCAACAAAAGAGAGATGTCTGAAACAGCTGGAGGTGGGGAAAGCGGAGGTGCGACAGGAGCAGGGCAGGACCCTGAAGGGGATAATGAGCCCCCTTATCAGGCCCCACCTTTGCCTGAAGGTGATGACTTCGAGGTGGGGGAGACCTTAGACGAAGGGGCAACTTTGCCTGCCAAACGTCCCAGAATAAGCGAGGAGGGACTGGAGCAGGCTGTCAAGCCCGTCGAGGTGCTTGGAGAAATACCAGCACAGGTTGTCTTGCTGCAGGAAGGCCCAGCATCACCAGCACAAAGTAGAGTGTTTTCAAGTGCATGCATCAAATGAAATAAGGGGGGAAACCTTTATACATTCAGATAACATTTTGCGGGTCAGTGATTATGATTCAGTATTTATTTAGCAGATTATTGAACTTTACTCTTTGATTCTAGGAACAGGAGAACCAAAACAATGCGTGGAGGAAGGTCAAGTAGGGGAAGAGGTGTCCGTCAGTGAAGAAGAATGGCCTCAGAATGGAGACGTAGGGCATGATGCACCCACAGAAGAAGGAGAGGCAAAACCAGAGGAGGGTCCACACGGTGACGGATCTGCAGACAGCCCCAGTGAAGCACAGCGGTAAGTGGAGGACCATGATGTCAGGTTTATTTTTAACCACTGTTTCCACATAACTAGGGGTAAATATACAGCCCTCACACCATCATGTGGGAGGTGGAGATCCTATGTCGGATTACAAACATGAATTAAACACATGTGTTTTGGAAAGGAGAGAGATGGTTTTGAGTATGTACTTGGGTAAACTGGTTGTTTTGCAAAAAGGTCACATAGTCCAAAATATTATAATGCAATAAGTGGTGGTACTACTGCCCTTGTTTCTTGATCAGATTCTTTGATTGGCTGTTTTTGCAATCACTATCACACAAATGTGACTTGTTTGTTCCCCACCTTCTGTGTATAAATGAAATTAAGGGTACTTGCAAAAACCTTCCTGTTCTTTTAGCTGTTTTCTGCATTTGAAACACTTTTAGCTTATTTTCGACAGGAGGTACTGCTCTTCAGTACATGCAGTGACACCCAGGAATCCTACATTACATGAGATGCATATTTCATTTAATTGTGTATAAAATATAGGTAAGTAAAACAAATCCAGCTTAAGAACAGTATAATCATGAGTTTTACCTATGTTGATGCAATCAACCATGTTTAAAATACGGAGACAAATATAATGATATGGGCCTTCAAATAAATAAGACTAATGAAACAAAAGCACACTTCATTTAAAACACAGATTCTGTTTTCAGTTTCCTTAGCCAAAGCCAAGCATGGAATTGTGAGGGACTTGTAATTAAACTATTTTTTATAAATACACAGTGGCAGCATTTGATGTTAGCAGTGATTTTGAGGTAAAGTATTGCACACGGTTAATCACAATAGCAACATTTGGAGATCATCACAAGTGATACATAATAATGGATTTAACCTGTAGATACTGTGATAAACAAGCTAGTCCACTGTGTGGTGACACTGTGTCCAACTCTTACTGTTGGGCTTTGTGCAAGTTGACATTGTGGTTTATATGCAGCAACAGTTTTGTGCCGGGCTAGGACATTTATTGGATTATATTTCACCTAATTAAACCAGTTCTTAGCACAATTTACAAGTCAATGTTGTCGTTTCATTTACTCTGGTAACATTACGCCCTTGGCATTAGTGAGACAGAGTATTTCGTCTTTTAGTTTTTTGTGTGAAATTCCCATTGCTGTCTTCTAAACTCATTAACCCAAGACTTGGTGTTCTTTCTATCTTGCTTCTAGCGTCGGCCTAGATTTTACCCAGAATCCCCAGATGCTGACTGGTTCCTGCACAGAGTATTCCAACCTCCCAGAGAATTACCTCAAAGGCTGCAAATGGTAATCTTTGATCACATTTCAATTGAATCATAATACACCACGTGGATGAGAAGTTTAAATGTGTTGCATCAACCTTTGTGAGTACAAAATGTAGGACCATTATACTTGCCCATGTTGTGCCTTGGCAGAAATGGCAAAGGGCCCATATTGATGCCATGGTTAATTGCAAATATATTGTTTCTTTGCAAATGAAGCTAGGAAAATGACTCGCCCTTTTTGTCATCCTCAGTCCATTATAGATACAATAGTGCAGACGGTACATTTGGTAAAGGGAGGATACTAGTACTCCATGCACTATAACTGCATACAAAGGCATAGAACCAACCTGTTGAAAAGTTCTTAGTTTACCGCTGTTAATACATCATCATATTTTTCTCATGCTCCCTTATTTCCTAAACTAGGGCCCCTGATGGTTCCTGTATCCTGACCAACAGTGCAGACAATGTGCTCCGTGTGTACAACCTCCCTCCAGAGATCTACAGCTACAACTGGGACCTGCTTCCTGAGATGGTGCGCACACTGAACGTTTACCAACAGGGGTTCACCAAATAATTGTATTGAAGATGGAAGAAGACGTTTATTTAATACAACAATAACATGGAGATGGCAATCGATTTTGTATCTGTCCTATTCATTATTTTTGCTGAATTACAGTATCCAAAATGTATGATTTGTGAGGCTTTGACATTTAGATCTAACAAATAGCATCTGTTTTGCAGTACCTCTTTTTTAATGTCCTAATAATGTTTGAGATATTTCCCATTTTTTCTAAACTTTCTAAATGATGATGTATTTCCTGTCAAGAAAAGGTCATCATCCCGTCTTGTGTTGTCTGACCTTTTCATACAAAGACTGTCAGTATGTTGTTGTATGTGTGCATGTTGTGTAACAATCCACTCAGAACGAGCATGTCATGCACTTTAATGTAGCAGCTTGAGATTTAACAGTGAGAATAGAATAGACATTCTGTCCTTTTAGGTTTGGGGAGGTATCAAGTAGCGAGCCAATCTCTTAATTGTATTACAGGCTGGTAGATCGGGATCACTGAACAAATATAATGGAAATATAATCAATTTCCCTCCTATTACAGAAATGCCTCAGCGCTTGTGAAAAGGGTAGATAATTGAGCTCTATTTCTGAAATGGTGCATGATCTGATATTTCATTTGATTACGTGACAAAAGTCTGTGACATTGTAGCCACCTGTTCAGCAGCAGCATTAGTGCAGATCAATCCCATCAGTCTTTAGAATTTATTTCTACTTTGCCTCGAAGTCTTTACATTCCTGACTTCTTTCTTTGTTTAATTCTGCGGCAGAGTCCAGTGCTCAGGATGGCAGAGGGCGACACCATCTACGACTACTGCTGGTACCCCAAGATGAACTCTCTGGACGCGGACACATGCTTGTGAGTTCCACTTGATCTTTGCCAGACGCTGCCCTGAGCCTCAGCTCTTAACAGTTGGATAGATGAGACATTTAAAGTTCACTTTGAAGGTCAGCCCGCCACATGGTGAAGGATGTATAAACAGAAAAGCACTGTGTTGTTTATAGAGGCTGGTGTCAGTGGATGATTGGTGTTTTTAATCTTGGATGGTTAGTGATGGACACTGAAGACATTCGGTGTAACAGACTGCGCAGAGGATATCGTTGTATGCCTGTGACTCATACTTTCATCCCCTCTGTATTTGCACTCGTTGTGGGAGCCAGCTGCCAGTGTGGATGTGGCTGTAAAAGCTTTCTGATGTCTCTCATTATGAGTGAAGAGTTGGCCTCTGTGTAGTCTGCCTCTGCCTCCGCTGCAATGCGTTGGCTGTTTTAGGCCGACAGCGCTGTTCGGCGCGTTTCATCCCTCTAACAGCCCTCCCGGGGAACAGACACCTAAAAGGGCCTCACGATTCCCTGACTTCTAAAAGGGCCTCACGATTCCCTGACTTCTAAAAGGGCCTCACGATTCCCTGACTTCTAAAAGGGCCTCACGATTCCCTGACTTTGGGCTTCTCTTTTCATGTCTGTCTTTTTTAGCTGGCTCTAGCAGGGTATTAGTGACATCACTGTTGGCTTGCACTGTTAAACAGAGCAAACATCAGTAACACCATCCCCGTGGACATTACATGTTGACTAGAGTAACAGCCATGCAGTG